AAAAATATGAACAAGGCTTAGTTTCTTATACAACGGCCCTCAATGACTTGGCTGATTTGGTAGGTAAAGTGAAATGGATTTTGAAAAAGAAAAAATGTGAAATGGGATAGCAATATATGATTTTGATCTTTTTAAATAGGAATTGTTGATTTTGACTCCTTCGTTTTGATTCAATTCTAGACCGATGAAGAATTTATGGTGATGAATGGACTTCGACTGCCCAATCAAACTGATCTTCGTGGGAAAAGGCAGGCTAATAGGTTTTATAGGTATGACCCAAGGGAACGGTTGCCAGATCTAGTTGATTGGAGAACGAAAGGCGCCGTTACACCCGTCAGAAATCAAGTAGGACTTATGTGACTTATAACTTACATCTTCTTGTCCATAATTTTATGCTGATTTGGGCTTCGACTATGTGACGTGATCAAGAATATGCAGGGAGCCTGCTGAAGTTTTCATGACTGATCACGGCATATCGATTGCAGCAATGCAGCAGTGCATCACTGCATACTGATTGTTTGCATTGAAGTTTAGAATCTAAATTTGGTTTTTTTGCATTTGAATCGTCCTAAATTTTTTTTTTAGAGGCTGATGGACTGATAAAAAAGTGACATCTAATGAAAACTGATTTTGCAGGGTGAGTGCGGTAGTTGCTATGCATTCGCTACAGCTGCAGCACTGGAAGCTTATCATAAGCAGATGACTGGAAGACTTCTTGATTTATCCCCTCAAAACATTGTTGACTGCACGTGGGACCTCGGTAACAAGGGTTGTAACGGAGGCTATATGCCCACGGTTATTATCTAACCTTCCTTTATAAATCATTATTAATTTTATGAATCTGCAAGTTCTGCTTTTTGTTCCATTTTATGATGTTAAGAAGATTTTCAGGCATTCCAATATGCATCAAGATATGGAATAGCAATGGAATCGAGATATCCGTACGTTGGAACTGAACAAAGATGCAGATGGCAACAAAATATCGCTGTTGTTACAGACAATGGTTTTAATGAAATACAGCCGGGTGACGAATTAGCACTTAAGCATGCCGTAGCCAAACGTGGACCTGTCGTTGTTGGAATTTCCGGATCGAAACGCTCGTTCAGATTTTATAAAGACGGTATATTATAATTTATATGTCATCACAAGTTAGAGAATAGTTGATATCATCATTATTCGACTATCGCTATAATAGTGTTGATGTAACCATATTTGTTCTTATCTCTGTTTCATATTTCCATTCCTCAGTATCTGATATTTCAGGTGTTTACTCTGAAGGAAACTGTGGTCGTCCTGACCACGCAGTACTGGTGGTTGGTTACGGAACGCATCAGTCTTATGGGGATTACTGGATTGTTAAGAACAGGTTTGCCGCACTTCATCTGCTGAACTGTTATTTTATTATGGTTTCTTTAAAAAATTTCATTTGAAATGAATTAAGATGGAATGGACATCAGTTTATTGCTTTACACTAATGCTAGTACCAATTGAAATTTTTTCAGTTGGGGTACCGATTGGGGAAAAGATGGATATGTTTATATGGCACGAAACAGAGGGAATATGTGCCATATCGCTAGCGCTGCTTCATTTCCGATTTGATAATAATTAAATTTGATTTCTTATGATATTTATTACACTAAGTTTTAACTTATAACGTATTTGTTTTATAGCTTAATAAATTTTGAATATACAAATATGCGAATATGAAAGAAGAAAAATGTTTGAATGCTTAATTTTTGCTAAAAAATTATTTTACCAAATAGCGATTAAAATATGTGGGATTAGATCAGCCTACGCATTTCGACCTAAAACCCATTCAAACTTAGAAATAAATTACATAAGTGAACCCAGCATAATTCATTTCAGAGTTCTGATCACCCAGCTATATTAATTGCTACTTAGATATCACAGATGAAGTGGATACACCCAATATTTTGAGTAGAATTGGTTTAAAAAAAAAAAAAAAAAAAGGCCAATTGAACTAAAAGCTTACCTTCTTTTTTAAAATATTTATTTTTCTTATAGTAAAAATATATACTTTGACTTTAAAATAGTTTTTTTTTTTTTAAGTATTGTAAGGGGCCTGCTAATTTGACCGTCACTTGTAAGCAACGATATATAAATTCATCAGCTCGCACTATAAAAGATCAAGATAATCCGACTGTCATAGTTTTTTACTCACTGTGATCATGCGCTTTACTATAAGTTAATGTGAGATGTTAAAATCTTTCTCAGTTCAATTTTTCTATTTTTTTTAACAGTTCTGCAGGTGGTTGCTAGTAGTGGAGAAGCGGGCACAACTATTAGAAATAATTTCAGTTAAAAAGCGAAAGTATGAGATAGATTGATGATATGATTCACTTTGCGCATTTCGGGCTCATTAATATTTTGTATAAATGCAATATTTGTTGGAGTGAAAAAGGTTTTAAAGTAATTGGATGGTGATTTTTTTTTTTTTTTTTTTTTTGTAGAAGGTTAGAGGAAATTATGAGTAAAAAAAAATTTTTTCGATCACTGGCAGTTGGAAATAATACGAAACCGAAATCTAATTGTTGCAATTATTAGGAGAGCAAATGAAGGAGCAGCAATTCCCTTATTTCATAAACAGAACAAGACGTGATTAAATAAACCCTGTACCAAAAATGAAACATTTCAAAACAAAAGAAAGCCTCATCTTCGCGAAATTTACCTTCTTATATGTCATTTACAAAAAAATTATACAGTATAACCGAAGGGAACGAATATTTTATCCCTCTTTTTGCCATCCAATCTGGTGGTACAACACAACCGAATACAAGGAGGACAGTTATACAGAGAGGATGAAGAGGATGAATAACAGGACTGATAGATAACAGTAACTAGTTTAACAATGATGGGAAGATAGGAAATGTTAGGCGAGTATTTAGCATGAGAGCATTGCGAGCCTTTATGTGATATTTTATTATCATTAAAGAATTTTACAGATTTTTTGCTAAATTAATTTTTTTAGATTTTCGATAATAATATTATGCGACACCTACACAATCAGTAAAGCTATTGCCAACAAATTACGAGAGCAAGAATATAATATTTTCCGAACATTACTGATTACTGATTAGATTCATATTAGTTCATATCGTTTATGCATTCAATAAAGTGTGTTTTTTTTTTCATTTTAGAGTAACCTTAGATAAAAAATTACTAATGTCTAATTGAATTATTACATTGATTGCTTTTTCTCGCTATATTCTCGTTCATTTTCAAATTTTCTTAATTCTATTTAATGCGTAACACCAACTGTTACGAGAATCTTATTTCTTCGGAAACTCAGTTATAGTTTACAAATCGGAAAAGGATGTTTTTTTTTTTTTTTTTTTTTTTTTTTTTTGAAAGGTTTTGTTAAGAATCAGGAACAAACATGAATTTAAAAGGCTTATCTAGCTGTTCTAATATATCTTACTATTGCTAGTGATATAGTAATAGTGGTGTTTTTTTGTTTACTATTTAAGCAAAATTATTGTAATCGATTAAGCTTAGTTTATGGAACGGCAGTCAGCAGATTATTGGATCTTTATTGATATAAATACGATTTTGAAGGTGAAAAATAGCAGCACATCGAGCAGCCAGTAAAAAAGAGTAATAATTTCGCTGTTGTTTGTTCCTTTGTTTCCTTTGTTGGAAGAAAAACGGTGTTATGTATTGATTTTTCCTTTGTTAGTTTATGGTTAACATATTTTACAACAAACAACAACATATCTTCATTCGATACACTAGGAACAAAAATCTTTGTAACAAATTCTAAGCCGGAAAGTCGGAATTTATTTACAGTTCATATGATTAATACTTTTTTTTTTCATAAATTTAATGATTTTATTCAGGATTTTGCGGTATTGAAATTTGCGACAAGGGATGGCTTCCTCTGTTTTAGTACTGGTCATTTCTTTTAGTGCTGATTTTTTTTTTTTTTTTTTTGCAAGGCAACTGCAAGCAACTTTTTATGTTTGTACATCAGGTTTTTATTTTTACCTTTCTTTGTTCTAACCGGCATGCTATGTTAAAATCTGCCTACAGAACCAACCACTAAAGTGGTTATCTCCAACTAACTCTATTTATATCTAAGAGAAGGTTGCTTGTAAAAGTGATATAAAAGTTTGAAAGTCATTATTTGAAACTGCTTTCCACGAAGTAAAGAAATGTTAGTACTTGCAGAATTGAAGCAATTTTCACAGTACTATAAAATAATCTTTGTGCAAAATAGAATGTTCAATAAATTCACTTTGAAGCAACTCTACAATGTAAAAATTAGTAATATTTGCAATTAGTAATGATTTCAATAAATTTTTTATCATAAAATTAATTTTAATTACAAATTTAAATATGGACGGTTAGAAAAATTCGACAATTTCAAGGAGTTTTTGTAAATTCGATACTGAAAAAATTTTTAATTTTGCTAAATCCTGTTTTAATTGAGTATCAATAATGTTAAACAAATGTAATTCATATAAAAATAATATATTTGAAACTTAATTGATCAGTTTTACTTGCATTATACTTGATCTGCCTACATTCTGTCGAGGATTTTTGGCATTTTGTGCAAAAAAAAAGTTTTGAAAATTAACTTTGAAGCAAACTTTCAGTGTAGAAATTAATTAAATTTGCAATTATAAAAGATTACAAATATATTTTATTATTAAAATTAATTTTAGTAACAGTTCTTGACGGATATTTAAGAAATTTCGACAATTTTTAGGAGTTTTTAATAAATTCAATGCAGAAAAAAGTCTTAATTTTTCGAAATTCCGTCTCAGTTAAGTTCTACCAATGATGGAAAAATATAATTTATTTAAAAATATATTTGGAACTTAATTGATTACTTCTATTTGCATTACACTTGATTTGCTTACATTTTGTCGAAGTTTTTTGACATTTTATGCAAAAAAGAAGTTTTAAAAATCAACTTTGAAATTTATATTTTATAATTTTAACTTATAATTTACAACTTATAATTTATAAATTATAATTTAATCATTCAGTATGATTTCAGTATGACTTCGACATGTTTCAATGATTGTTTCCGTTTTGCTGTCATCTTTGTCGCACAATGCAACCTTTAAGTGACAATAAAATGCATAGCACTGTTGACAACAAATTTTAATAAAATAATTTGTCATTTTTAATTCTAATAAATGATTAACAAATTTTTTTTTAGTTTTTAATAATTGGAAAAATATGAAAAAACTTTTGAATTTAATTTTGAATTTTTTTTTTTGTACAAACTCACTCACTAAATTTTTTTTTTTTTTTTTTAAATATGAGAAACAAAAGGCTATAACAACAGCAGTTAAATCAAATAAAATAATTAAAAAAAATCAAAATTTTAATTATGAATTAAAGAAAAGTCAAGCAAACAAAAAAAAAAAAAGGAAAATTCCATATTTTAAGTTGTGAAATTTAAAATTTGAATAATTAAACAACAAAATGGCAGCAAGAAGGGAAGTTAAATACTAAAATACAAAAATGCTTTCAGTTGTTTTTTTTTTTTTCAATTCGATCCAATATCATTTGTTTAAAATAGAAATTTTTAGAAAAAAAAAGGAAATAGGAAAAATTAATATAATTTAATTACCTGTTTTGGTGTTAATGAAAGTGTCACTTTGGGATAAATTATTTCTAATGATGTACTTGTATCTGACTGAGTTAAATCATCTTCTGATATCTAAATTGATAAACATTTATTTAAATTCGATTTTTTTTTTTGTGAAATCAAAAGAATTGTTTTCGATTAAATTTGGTATTCAAATATTTTTTTCTAAATAAAGGCAAAACTTTAAATGCATAAAAATTTAGCAGCAGTTTAAATAATTAAATATGAATAATTTACATTATTAATAAAATAATACAATTAAATTGTAATTAAATTAACTTTCAACTTTCTTTCTTAGTTGAAATCTGTACAAAATGAAACGAAAATTCGAGAATATTTTATAATATTTCAAATTTAAGAATTTTTATTAATTATTTAACAAACAAAATGTCTAGCAAAAAACCACCGATTAATTTGAAATGTCAACAAATTATTTTATAAAACTGTCCATAATTTCTTACAACAAAAGAATGAAAAAACTTGAAACTTTAATTTTTCATAAATTTAAATTTCAAATTAAGCTTTTACCATTTCATTTTAAAACTTACTGTACTTAACTGTTCAATAGCTGTATTTGTTTCACTATTACTTTGTCTATCAAATTGTGGTGGTGGATCATTGAATGCATTAAAGTGAATATTCTGTAATGAAATTAAATTTCAAAATAAATTTCAAAAGAAATTAATAAAAATTTAACAAGATTGCTTACTTAAATTTATTTTTTGGTATTATTTTACTTAATTATTAGAAAATGAGAGAAATTTAAACAACGCTTAATTAATTGACAGTATCAGAACTACAATATCTAATAATAAAAACAGTAATTATTGCTTTTATTATTAATTAAAGAAGTTTAATTCCTTATTAATAATTTATTGTTATCAATAACACAAATTATTTATTTTGATTAACATTTCGTCGTAGCTATGAAATTAATAACTTATTATTACCAATTATTAGCCGTTGATTGGAATTTTTAAAAAAATTGATATAGAATATTGTAAAATTAAATATTTTTAAAAATTATTTCAAGTTTTTTTTAAAAAAAAAAATTTTTTTTTAAATTTAATAAGTGAAAGTTTTTTAAAATTCATTTTGAATCTTGTAACATTTTAAATTTAAAATTTTATTTTAATTTTTCTAACCATTCCAGCTTCATAAAAGCGCTCTTGTAAAATGCGCAATTCTTCATCTTGTTCTCGTCTTTGTCGTCGACGAAAATAATCGTCGCGCAAAATGGATGATAGTATGCATGCAAAACCGCATATTGCGCATGTTGTTATTAGCATAACAAATGCTCCAACAATAAAAAACATTATGCGTAAAAGATTAAGCAACCATGTCCAGCTTTAAATTATATTTTCAAAATTTTTATAAATTCATTTGTAAAATACAAAAAAAAAAAGAAAAAAAAATGTTAATAAAAAAAAAAGCAATTTAAATTAACAAAAGAAAATCTTTCAAATAAATAATTGCATCTTTAATTTAATTCGGCAATAATTTCACAAAAATAAATAAATAAATTACATAATTGTTGATATTTTTAAAATTTTAAATTTGAGTTATGCAAAATAAAAACTTTAAAAGCAAAGCCATTTACCCTTGAAATATTATTAATGATTGCGGAGGTTTTTTAAAATCATCAAAATCATATTTAATCCAATTATTTGTTAAATCCATGCTAAATATTGCATCAGCAACAATTGATTCAACTATTAGTTCTCGTAAAAATTCCATTAGTGATTTTTTGATTATCGTTTTGTTGACAAATTCTATAAAATACATTGTTGAGAAGAATTCTTTTAATTATTTAAAATAACTAATTGTAATTTGATAAAAATTAAGCCTAATTATGTGAAAACAAATTATTATTATTATTAAATGCAAATAAATTATTTACAGCTCAAGAAAAAGAAAAGAAGTAAAACTTAATTATTATAAAAATGAAATAAAAAATTTAATACAAAAAATAAAAAAATTAAAACTAATAATAATATTAATTTATGAAATTTTCCAAAAAAAATTTTTTATTTCAAATTCAATGATTACAGTTTTTTTTTTTTTTTTTTTTTTTTTTTTGAATTTTCACATATAATCTATTAATATGAATGGATTTAATGCAAATTTAAATTTAATAATTTTGTTATTAATTTTTATAAAAAATAAAAATTTCAGAAGAATGAAGCATATTACCATTTTTTGTTTGATCAATAATTGCATGTGATAGTAATAAACGAGTTCCCTCAAAAATATTTCGATTTTTCCTATCTTTTAATTGCTCACCAATATTATCTTTTCGTTCTAATTCATACTGCCAATGTGACCAATGTGACATTTTTGTCATTGTCACATCAACAATTATTTTATCAATAAGCCAACGAATTAGCGGCTTTTGGCCTAAAATTATCAAACAAATTATTTGAAATTTAATGGGTATTTTTCAGATGAAAAATACATTTATCGTTCATTTTTTGTTAAAATTTTCAAAAAAAAAAAAAAAAAAAAAAAAAAAAAACTTAAATTTCAAAAAAGAAGAAAATGAAACATGTTATAAATAGAAATTTTTGGATAATTATTAAAATCATCATCACTTTTTTCTTTTAATTATTTCTTTTTTATTTTATATAAATTATCAAAATTAAAAATTATAAAATTAAAATGGAAAACTTATATCTGACAATTTAATCATTTAAATTTTATTCAATAACTAATATGCAAATTATTTTTATCAAGGTAACCTTTATGATAAGTTCTATGCAAATCTTTAGGTATTATACATTGATCAGTACGATCATTTATCAATATAATATGTTTGACAACTTTTTCAAAAAAAAATATTTTTGTTATCCATTTGTTTAATACATTGATTGTTTGCCGGATAACTGAGCATGGATCATTCCGGATTTTTCTGTCATCTTCAAATCATAATTTATCCTCTCAGTGTAATATGTTTGACAGTTTTTAATATAATATATTTGACACTTCATTTAGCAATCAATCAACCAATCAATCGATTTTTCATTCGATCAATCAATCAATCAATCATTCAATCAGTCGATCATTCATTTATTCATCCACTAATTCATTCAGTGGCAATAATTAAAAAAACAAAAAGGTAAAATTGCAAAAATTGTTTTTGTTTTTTTCTTCTTAGTTTTTTCTTTAATTTTATACAAAGTAATTTACCTTTAGTAGCTTCACCAGAATCCTCAAAACTTTGATGTAATTTTTGTATGTTTAAAAGTTTGCCAAAATATAATTTTGGATTTTTGGGTAAATGTAAAACAGCAGCATATAAATAATTGGAATTATTTGGTAATAAACAAGCTATAGCATGATATATATCCAATACTTGTTTTAACTGTTTAAATTAATGATTATCACTTGTGAAATTAAAATTTTACACATTTTCACTTATTAAAAAAGAAACAACAACAATAAATATTATTATTAATTCTTTAATCGATTTGTTTTTACCACAAATTTATCAGAAAAAAAAGAAAAAAATCAAAAATATGTTCAATTAAATTGTTGAAAGATCAATTTATTTTATTATTTGTATGTTTAATTTATTGTTCCATGAGTAAAACATTAAATTAGCTATATAATAAATCTTCTACATATTTTCAAAAAAAAAAAAAAAAAAAAAAAAAGAAGAAAAAAATTAATTGCATCATTTATTTTTCTTATTAATTATTAATGATAAAATATAAAAAATTTATTTAAAAAAAAATGAACGAAATACCAAAAAAAAATTATACTAAAACCAGTTTTTGTTTTAAATTTAATCTTTCATTATCATTAATTAATTCAATCACTGTTAATTAATTGTTAGAATGATAGAATCATATGTATTTACCTTTGTTGGTGTTAAATTATGATCAATGGTAAATATCAAAGCGATTGGTATGTCACGTTCTTTAAAATTTAAAGCATTTTGATCATTACTATTCCACATGCAATATGGCTCCTAATTAATATTTAACAATTTTACTAAATATCTATTGCAAATAAAATAAATTTTTACTCCAAAATTGAAAAACTTTCAGTGTAAATTATTTTTGTTTATATATTAATAATATTCGTTCTTTCCATTTTACATGTATGTTAGACAGAGCAGGAAGAGATTTCACTTCTGATTTGTAAATTGGCTAAGAAAATGATTTAAACTAAAACAAGTAATACATCATAGTCTAGAATTATGTGAGGTAATTTGATGAATTGCAGTAAAAACGATGCCAAAAAATTTGTTTCTACTTTTCGTACGATTTTTATGATGCTAATATAAAAATGCTATGATGATTTCAAAATAGTTGTTGGAAATATTAAAACTAAATAAAAAACTTTCAGATTACTAAAGGATTGTTGTAATAAAACCAATTAAATAATCAATACCAAGTCTAACAATTATCTTATAAATGGAGATTAGAACAATGATTTTTTGCAAATGATACGATTAATTATTTGAATGATGGATCGATAATAAAAATTGCAAGTGCTAACCACAAAAAGCATGATAATAACTAGCCTGATCTCGAACTTCATTTGCTAATGGTAACGTAGCTGCTGTACTTGAATCAACCGCAATATGTGGAAATAATTCCGAAAGATATACTATTTCAGGTATTATTACATAATATTGCAAATTTGTTAACCAACCGCTTAGCATCATTGATTAGCAAAATGTTAAGAATTTTTAAATTTAAACTGTTTAAATTTTAAGAATTTTTGAAAGTTATATACATGAAATTTGTTAAATTAAAAGCTATCAACTTATTAAAGACTTAGAAGCAGCAATTATAATTTGAATTAACTAAAGATATTCTCTTTGCATATATGCAAACGAATGAAATTGTAAGGGCATACGTATAACTATACGTCATCGTAAATTTCTATGGTAATATTTAACATATATTATCAATTTGTAAATCATTTACTTCGTTTACTCAATCCTCTAACTAATGCACTTAAAATTTATGCAAATAACACTTGGAATGAAACTTTCACTTTCCGTTTTTATGTAATAAAAGAAAACCAGAAAACCCTGAATGTGAAATACGAAAAAAAAAAAGAAAGAATTCACTTCATGTCAACTAATCATAAAACCAATCAAATATAATTCATCATATGGAATAAGTTGTGCTTAATACATAGCACCAAAATTCACTTCAAGAAGAGAGCAATAACACAGAAATTGAAAAATTTTCAATATGTGCACTTTAACTTTCCTAAGACATCATTGAAAAATCTTGGCAACAAATACTAATATTTTCCACTTTTAACAGATCACTAAAATATGGTTTGCTAAAGTATAAAAATTGCAATTCAACTCATATAATCTTGCATTCTGCAATATCATTTGAATTTTACAAGTATGAATTAAAGTAATCTGTAGATCAGTACATGATAATAAGTCAGTAAAAAGGTTGCAAAAAGAGAGCATCAGATCAAAAATACACTACCGGCTTTTAAAGGTATGCATTCAATGACCATACTTCTGAAACTCCCATTCCCGATTATCAAGAGGACAAACTTGACGTGTTTTAAGCCAACGTGAAATACAGTGAAAATGAAATGCATGGTTGCATACACCCCATGCAACAGTACATTCTTCAGAAGTTGCTGAAGCCTAAAAATGATTCAAATAAGCAGTTTGAACAATTGAACATCCTAAAAAATATGATCAACAATAGCTTATGCTTTAGCGCTAAATTCATCTTTGCAATATGCTATGGTGCGATCAAAAAATGAAAACACAAAAAACTGTACTTTTGGAAAGTTACTGGAAAAATGGAAAGCAACAAATTTACCTGATTTGCTTGACATTCGATACAGAGGTCCATAATATGATTCCGACAAATAGCACAATTATCAACAACTATATCCCAAGCCCATAACGCCACTGCATTCCATTTCTTCACCTAAAATTTCATATTGAAAAAAAAAAAAAAAAAACTTTTATTAATTGAGTAAATTTTCATCATTTAAAAGAAATCCTAAGAATGAAGTTAAAATAAGCCGAAACAACTTCCCACGAATTTATTTAAAATTTAGCTTATTTGCAGTGACTGACAAAATATGCAAAATATGAAGTAAACAATATGAAACACTCCAAACCTTAATTTGATGTCGGATAAAACTAAATATTGGAATTATATAGTTTGAGTTTTTATTTTCTTACGTTAGCAAAAGATAAAAGAATAGAAAGCTTAAAAAAAGAAAACCTCAAAACGTTTCTTTTCTTTGCCAGAAGCACCTGCAGTACCAGAATATTGTTGCGCATCATCTAGTTCCATTTGTTGTGCTCCGCCTACAGCCATTTCAAAATCAAAGTTTTGTTTTCACTTATCTAAAAACTAATTACATCTTATTATACCGATATGCTGACTTCTGATTATTTCGCCACCGTTTTAAAATGTTATGCAGAATTGAAGCCAAAACTCTGCTTAGAAAAGACAAAAACAAGTTATACAAATGAAATAAAGATTAGATAGAAATTAAAGGTAATTCTGAATAGGAATTAAGAAATTTTATCTGAAGTGAAATAAATTCAATTCAATTAACAGATACATCTATCCATTCTTCTATTAACTATCATTCCCTTATTCGAATCAATCTCCTTTTTTTTTTGTGACTCATCTACCAATTAGGCAAGTTGTCGAATCAATCTCCTTTTTTTTTTTGTGACTCATCTACCAGTTAGGCAAGTTGCATTTTCAAAGAACATTCAGAATATGAAATCAGGATATATGCTAGCTTTCAGTAGATCCATCAAAGCTTACTATATAATAGTTTTAGGTTTTTTTTTTTTTTTTCTCACGCTTGATATAATCATAAATGTCAATATATGAGTGATATAATTTTATGTCTGGAGTGACAATAGAATCCTATATTATATTTTTACATTTCCGAAATCAATCAATTTCCGGTTTACACTAATAATAGACTTAATAAGGGATGACCGTTGGCGAAAACAACAGCTACAGATGTTAATATTTAGAAGCTCATCGAAAATTTCGAAGTTAAAAAGGAAATATTTCAAAACCTAAATCGGAAGCATCCAAGACAAACCGGAACACAACAGGAAATGACTAAACCAGAAAGGTAAGTCCGGCAGGAACCATTGTCACTGTAGCAATAAACCATTGAAACTTTTTCTCATCTCATTCGGTAATTGTTGGCATCATCGAGATAGTTGTTTCATTGGTTCTTTTTTTCGTTTACTATCAATTAATGATCGATGCTTAAATTAAGTGAACGTCTACAATCACGTTTGTATAACACGTGGCCACGTTACAAGAATATTGGTTTCATCACGTTATACATTGCTACACGTAGGTTTCTTTCTTAGAATTGATTAGTTTTTGAAAATTGGATTGAGTGCATAGCTTCTTTAAATTTTACTGATAAATTTGAGATGTTAGTGAGAATTTGAAGATGGAAAAATACAATGTTAAAAGTAATTGTTTTGTAGTATTTTTTTCAAACTTTATGAATTATTACAAAACTTACAGTTGGAAATTGAAATTTTTACATGATATTTAACTCTCTAAAATCAACAGTTTATGCCATTTCTTAGCCTCATATGTAGTTATAAGAATAATTTGATTGAAATTTGAAAATACAGTTTAAAACTCGATTATTTGTTGCGGATTTTAGTTTTACAGGTTTGCTGAAGGAATTTAGCGTAAGATTTGAAAGCTAAATTAACACGAATGAATCATCTGCAATGTAAATCATTTTTTCAGTTTTGGGCAGTATCAAATATTACAAATCCAGAAGGACTGGAGCGAAACCGATTAGCGAATAATAAGTAATTACTAAATAACTGTCTACGGTAAGCTATACTTGCTTCCGAAATACAATATCATGTATGTTCAGTAGTACCATTGAATTTCAATGTATGTATGGTTGCTAATACCTTGTTTTGTCTGCTGTTCTGTATAATTTTAAATGTTGTAAAAACTTCCGTTATTTTATTTATTGAGATACTTGTTTCTTTTGCAACTGAAATAATAAATTAGAACATCTTTTGTTCTAATTTTTAACTGAGATGATAAAAATTAGGACGTTTTAGTTCCTAATGAAGTAAGCTGTCAGTTCATCATTCTTACAAATAAATTATAGAGATCAGTGAAAATTGTACTTTAACATTGGTCTAGTAGAAATGTTACTTGCAGTAGAAAATGCTACTGTACAACATTTAACGTGATGCTCTGAACTTTGCAAACATTTTTACATGTTTGTTTTATAATTTTGAAATTTTAATCGAAATTTCGAACGACCACTTTTTCTTTTACTACCTAAAAGTAGGCTGCAATACCTTTATTTCAGGAATCGGCGAAATATTCTCAGATGTCGGCTTCTAATAAAAACTCTGACGTTGAGGATTACTATGGATATTGGCAACCATATCCCAATAATATTCGTTCGCGGCGATGGTTTCAGCAATTTGAAGCAATAAAAATTGGTGGACCATTTTGTTTGAGAGCTATAGCAGCTTGTGCAATTGGTTAATAATAATAATATTGTTTGATTTCATGATTGATTAATTCTTCAGCGAATTTGTTTTTTACTATCGAAATTATGAAGCTTTGAATACGTCACAAATATTGTCTGACTAAAAATTATAGCTCTTAATTTTAATTTACATTTCAGCATACCATGTGGCGTATTATACTTATCAGTTCACTGCAGTAAACCCAGAATATCGACACGATTTGAGGCATGTGATATGGTTAAAGCAGAAATTATCTGTTTACCCATCAATTGGTATTTGTCGCAAGGAAAAAATAGAGAATTTTCCAGAGAAGAGATCGTAATTAATTTTCTTTTTCGTATTTGATTGAAATTTCCAAATGGAGATATTGTAATAAAAATTTCAGTTATTTATGAGCTTTAAGGTATTTCAGTTTTTACTGCAAAGTGCTTCAATTAGTTAGTTAGTTGATTACTTCACTCTGACACTTAACCTATAACCTATCTTTTGATTTATAGATGGAATAACGCAGCTGTATTTTATTTACTAACTGTATATGATTTTACTATTGTTCTTTGGCTTTTACAGTTTTCTTCTCTTGTTTATTTGATAAGAATAAATTTTTGTTTGTTGTTTAAATGGGTAGTCTCAAGTGAGATTTCACATTTTTCTCAGAAAGTTATTTTGAGGATTGTGTGATTCATATATTCTTTTTTTTTCCTTTAATTTTGCCATATTCAATTCGAATACTAATTGTTCTTTGTGATGTATAACTAGTTTAGTCAATAAATTATTTTTTGAAGAAAGTACTTGATGTTAAATTGGAAATACAGAATTTTTTTGAGATTCAAATGAAGCAAACAGAATGGTTCCTAAAAAAATATCCGAATCAGTACAAAGCAGAAAACACGAGAACACCGATCATAAGCTTTTGTTGCGGTGTGGGTATTCTATCAGTAGTTTTTGGTAAGCTTCCTATTAATTCTGGCTCAATACAATGAATAGATTGGATTGCTCCATTTAACATAAAATTTGTGATCATTGAAAAAAAAATCCCATAATGCTTTCATATTCTTTTAATTTGCCAATATATGTTCTTCATTTTAATTTTTTCGCGTTATATTTGAACGTTTGAAATTTAGCTTCATGAATCTGCTTATTGTAGTTCTTTACAATCGATACTGTCTGGATGCGAGAAAACTACCAGATGGTGAGGCGGTGGATTGGAGATGGATGTTGTATTTGAAAAAATACGTTCCACCACTTCGAAACTTTGGCATACCGTATCGAGAATATAAGCCTGATGATTTCTAAACATTCCGGATGATTTTTGATCATTTTTATGCCTAGATTTATTACGGATTATTAGAATATTATTGTACATGTTCAGCCTATGATCTTACTTAGATTGCTGCAGCAACGATAACATTGTTATTAGTGGCTTATTGGTTTAGTAATTAATGCATTCATTAAATTCTTATTTGTTCCATAACACTGTCAATAAACAAGTAGGCTCATGAGCAGGTTTTTATGAGTTTTCGGTTACTGTTAAATGCATGTAATAACGCCGTCTGTTTTAATTGATGAAATAATCATAACTTTGCTCATTTTGTTGTGTAACATTGTTAACTTTGCAAAATATATCTTCGAAAAAGTATTTCAAAATATTTTCATCAAAGTAGTTATGCTTACACTGATTTTTTATCTGAATTGTAATGAAAAGTTGGTCATAAAAAGCAAAAAAAGTTCAATATGATTTACCATTTGCAATACTGTGCTTCATTGAACCTCTAAATTGGTGATATCGCTAATGGCAATTTATTTAATTGAATTTTATAGGAGAAGGTTTACTTGTAGTGGGATGCTTAGACTTATTTCTTTGTATTCATTAAAATTTCTAATTTGTGAATAGCATGGATGTTGTAAAAGAAATTCTGATACAAAACTGGGGAAAATATGATTCACACTTTACAATGTTTTTTTTTTTTCATTTTTAAGGAGGAAGATATGACGACCATTCGGCCGTTTGATGTTTTCGACCTGTTTCGATTCAATAATACGTAAGTTTTCAAACACACACAAAAAGACAAATAAATTTTCAAATTTTATATTTTAGTTTGTTGATGACATCCATCAAATGGTCATTTGAGCCATTTGATGATTCAAATCCGTTATCGATTAACTTGCTGAGTTAAATGTTTTAGGAATAAGTTGTTTGAGCAATTAAGTAATAATATTAATCTGTTAGAGATGGGAGCGTTACTTTTTAATTCTACTTTTTACTTAATTCGTGAAACATCATTCTATGCATGTTTAGAACAAATGATTTGAATAGGAGAGACAATCTAATATATACATATAAGATTAATTTTGTGTGTAAATTGTAAAATTATTAGAGATTTATTCTTGTGGGAAATTTTCATTCGTGTTTATGAGATTTGCTTAGACAAAGAAATTCTCAAGATATTTGAAATATTCTTTTCTTTTTAGAAATTTGGATCCGTTGACAGAAACGGTATGTTTTTTTTTTTTCTTTTGTTTTAGCTTTTATGGATTTTTTTATGTATATATAAATTATTTTATATATATCAATTATTAATTATTTTATATTAAAATTTAAATGCATTCATCTTTGTAAATATTATATGGTATGCACAAAAATTAGTGAGAATATGTGATTACTAAAATTTTGAATGCACAGATATAATTTAAATCTTCAACTATATCGTTGAACTCCACTTGGATGTTTAAATCTATTACTCATTCAGACAACACAAAAATTTTCTATTATTATTTCAGAGAATTAAATTTCAGTGATCTTTCTTTCAGTACGGTTTTACTTTTTATTTACAATATTTGATCAATCATGGTGAATATTTTCAAGTTTGCGAACATCCAAATGGTGAAATTATGGGCTACGGTAAGTTTTATGTAATAATTAATTTATTAAAAAAAAAAAAATGAAAAAGCCTATAATTTAGATTTTTTTCTTGTAAAAGAATTAAACGTATGAAAAACCTATAATATCATAATATATGGGATATATATTAGCATGAATGATTACGAAAGTAACTAGAAATTTGTCAAATCACATTTTGTTTTATTAAACTTGACCTTAAAGGCAAATTTGTGTATGTTTTTTCTCATTCAATTTGCTTCATTAATAATTTCATTGTTTTTATAAAATTTTTTAATAATTGTAAAATAATATGTGGGCAGTGCACTTTGAATATTTTCCTAAATCAGTTATTTGCAGTTATGGGAAAAGCAGAAGGTGAAAATGAATATTGGCATGGGCATGTTACAGCAGTAACTGTTGCTCCAACATATCGACGATTGCATTTAGCTGCACGAATGATGCATGCACTTGAGGAAATCTCAGAATTGTACATTTTTCATTGATATTATTATTTTTTTTTTTTTTTTTTCATTTTATTTTATTGCTGAATATAAATATTGAATGAAAAAGGGCACAGATTAATGATTTTAAAAATTCATTGCAACAAAATATTTAATTATTACTTTCGACGTAAGCATAATGTTAAAAACACCAACTGTTAATATATATTCATTATTATTATAAGTTAATTCTTTTAAAATTCATGTATTTTATGATTGAGAATATTAAAATACAAATATTTCATACTTGCTGGTAAGTATAATAAGATTTTTTAATGAAAAATTTTGCTTCCATAATCTATCATTGGCAATAATCAATACTTTTAATCTAAGTTTGGATAAAAATGGTTAACAGAGATGGACAAAAATGGAGAGAATTTAATGACAGATCCTCTTAGTCAACAAAGAAATGAATTAGATCGTAATTGATAGTGTTAAAAAATTTTTTTTTATTTCAATTTTTTTTTTTTTTTTAATTTTAGGAAGAAATGTTATTTTGTTGATCTCTTCGTACGTGTAAGTAATGCTGTAGCAATCAATATGTATAAAAGTCTTGGTTATGTGGTCTATCGACGCATTATTGATTATTATTCGGGTGAAAATGACGAAGATGCTTATGGTTGGTTGATTTTTTTTCTTTTAATTTTTTATTTCAGAAACTTTTTTTTTTTTCCATCTAAATTGCAATGTTTTAGTAGTTAAGAAATATATTCTGTATAATTTTCTTTTTATATTTTGTAGAAAATTAAAGTACTGAATTTATATCTTATTTAATAATATGTAATAGCATTTTAGGATTGTGTCTCACTTTAGGGGTTTAAGTCAATTATGAAAACTTTTTGTTTATTGCTGAATTTTTTCCTTATAACAAACTTCTTGACTATATTGACATTTTGAGTAAATATTATTAACGAATTGATTTCAAAACTATTTTTATATTATCTGTTTCAGATATGCGGAAGGCATTATCAAGAGATCCAGAGAAGAAATCAATGATTTCAGTGAAGCAACCTGTTACATGTGATGAAATTGATCTTAAGGATTAGCTTTAACTATTTTGTTTACCTTTTTTTTTTTGATAGCTTTATTCGAAGTGCCATAATGGAATGTTACGAAGAAAAATTGTTTTTGTATTTTTTTTTTCTTTTCTTTTTTTATTATTCAACTAGCTTTTATGTTTATTTTTATTTCTAACACTAATGTTTTTATCACATATTTTGTTTATTTTATTTTTTTTTTTTCAATATATGCGAAATTGATTGAAAAGTAGAACAGATCACTATCTTGCTACTGATATCATTATCAAATTATCCTTCTTACTGAATGATCGTATAATTTCCAATTAAACTTGAAATGATAAATGAGATTGCAACCTGGGATTGTATTACCTTTTTCTCACTTTGTTTTACCTAATATTTCTCTTATTTCTATTAGTCATTTACTTTGAACCTAGACTATTTAATTAATTATTTATTTATTTATTACTAACATTTAATTAATAAATGTTATGAAAAACAGTACAATGTTTATTTTATACATAATGCATGAGAATGATCTCAGTTTTTTTTTTTTCTTTCAATTTTATTTTTCATCTCTAATTCGTTACATTTTAATAAAAAAAAAAAAACAAAAACTTGTCATTTTAGGTAAAAGTTAAAAAGATAAACAAAAGCAAATCTTCTAGACTTGTAACATTACTTTTGTGAAACTTCTAATTGGTAGAAATTTGATCTCATCTTTTTGGGAAAAAACTTTTTTTTTATGTGTTTATTTACTATTTGATTGTTTTTGATAATAACTAAATAGATTTGATCTTTTTTTTTAAATGTTATTTCTCCTTTTTTCTCGATTATTTGATATGCCAAGTCTTGTTACTTCTATTACAATGCATTTTATTTTACATAAAAACATTTAATCTTATTTTACCTATAAATTTATGCGTTTATAATTTCAAGCAGTAAATTTTTTTTTATTTGAGCAAATTCTAAATTATTGTTTTTTTCAAAGCAAACCTAAATTATACTACAACTATTCAATCTATAAAATAAGTTCTTTCTTTTTTTTTTTTTTTTTTTTTTTTTGTGATAAAGATGAAATTAAATTAGTATAAGCTAATATATAAATGTTAAGGACTGTTTGATTTATTCAGTGATTTTATTTAAATTTAGAATGTAAATATGCGACATTTTTTGCACATTTCATTATTCATCTTTATTTATGCCTGGATTATATTTCCCGGTAAAAATTTCCGGATGACCTATTTAGATTATGTTTCAGAAGATTCCGGATTACCTGCCTATTTAAACATCAAAGCAGTCAGTGATTCTAATGTGACAGAATTTTAGTTATATAAAAGCTAATTAACCTTTTGAAATAAGCATTCTAAAATTGCAATTTGGAATATCACTGCTAGTAAAATATTTTTAAAATATTGTAAATTTATTGAATTTAATAAATTTATTAATGTATAATACATTTTATTATACCTTAACGTTTTGATCTTAGTATAATATTCAAATATAATTGAATATCAATGATTAAATTTTAAAAAATTTCTCCTATTTAATTTCAAATGTCTTTTTTTTTTTTCATTTTTTTTTAAAAATTATTTTAAACGTTTCCAATAATTTCTTTTTTTTTGCGTAAAAAATAGAAATTTTTTTTATTATATTCATTTGTGTAAAAATAGATAATATTTTATTTTTCCATTTTTTTTTTTTTTTTATTATTTTCGTATTTTTTATTGATTATTTTCATTTTATTTATTTGCATATAACATCAATTTGGCAATGTTTAGAATTTTGATATGAATGTGAAAAAGTCTGATACAAGCGTTCCGGATTGTCAACCGTGTCGTCTTGTTGGTACCGGATTGTTTCTTTTTGTTGCTACCTATATATGGTACCATACACGAAATGGTATTTATAATAATGGTTTCATTTATAAAAAGTTACCATTACGTCTTATTGCTATTGGTTAGTTTATATTATATGTTAGTTATACATTTTACACTTTTAATTTCAAATATTTATATAAAAACTTTTATATCTCCAAATTTTTGTAATAGTTTTTTTTTTTAAAAAAAAAAGAAAAATTTTATGGTATTATTTCTTTTTTTGTTTTCAGTTTTGTTTCATCGCTTTTCATAACTAATATATCGTAATAAATTTATCATCTTAAAATAATTATCATATCATTAAATTATTATATCACTTTCTTGCTATTATACTATTTAATTCTTTTATTCATTAATCGATTTCTGATTTTATATTAGTTACACTTTTAATTCTGACTGATTTGTTTAAATGCATCGATCATTTGCATTTGAATTGATAATTATTACTGGAGAAAGTAATGGTATGAGATAAATATAATGGAACAATTTATAAATGTGTGAAAAAATTTTCTATAATAATGATAAGATAAATAAACATACTTGACGTGTAATGATATTATTGATAATTTACATCAAATAATACAAAGAAAATATCATAATATTACTAATGGTGATAACTGCTTATCATTAATTTATAATTAATGTTTATTATTATTTTATCTGTAAACCAATTTATTTTGCAAATGTAAATATATAAAAAACATTTATTACTTTACTAATCTTTATCGACTTTTTTTTTTTTCAAATTTCAGGATCACTGTATATGTCATTTGCGCGCTTCATTTATCTTCCGCCATTCAAACATCTTGCGCCCGAGAAGTGAATTTGTTGATGAAATTTTGTTTAAATTATCAATTCATATTTATAGAAATGATATTTTGAAAATTTTTTTTTTAATTTAATTGTAAATGTTTTTTTTTCTAGCACTTATTATTAAGTAAGCATATTTTTTTTTAAGCAAAAAGTAAACATTCTTCAGCCAGAAATAAAATATTCCTTTCATTAATTTAGAATTAATGTTTATATTTTCTTATAATTTTTTTTTTTTTGAATTTAGAAAAGAAAAAATTTGCAATAATTTTAATTGACTTAAATTAAATTAATCTAACAACCATTACGGATTTTTTTTCTGCCATTTTTTTCTATATTTCATTATTATTCTGTTTCCTTTCGTTTTTTTTTTTTTTTTTTTTTTTTTTTTTATAAAGTTATCATTGCATTGATAAACTTATCATTTTAGGTAATTTTTTTTCTGCTTTTGTATTGATAAAATATTATAATATTATCTTTACTGCTTTGCTGCATTGATTATTTGTTGTTTGTTAAAAAAATTAGAGAGTATAAGAGCACAACTGATACAAACTGATAACAGCACAATTGATATAATATAAACTGATAACAAATTTTTCTGATAGAAATAAATATAAATATGAAAAGTGTTAAATTTCTTTTTTCATTTACCATCTGCACAAATTAACTTTTCCTATTATTATTAATTATTGTTATTATTATGGTTAATTATTATTATTTTTTCTTTGTTTATTTTCACTTATATTGGAAATGGTTTTTATCTTATCTTATTCTTCTTTTTTTGAAAATTCAGTTTTTTTTTTTTTTATAAAAATTAGATTTCAGCAGCAATAACTGGTATTTTTTTAAAATTATTAATTATTATTATTAATAATAATAAAAAAGGCATTATTATTAGTAATAAGAATTTACAAACGAAGTTTTTTTTTCCTTTTTTTTAAAATGTTTCTTTGCTTATCTGCCAACTGATAAGAATTATCTGATCATATTTATAATAATTTTTTTCTTCTTTTTTTTTTTTAAATTAAATATTCATTTGTTTTTTATATTTTTCTATATTTTTTTCTCTTTTCTTTTTTCATATTAAATATATTTGAGAAATTTTTGATAATCTGCAAGAATTAATAGCATCATTGTAATATATTTGACATTTTCATTAGTAAAGAAAGAATGCAATAAAATATATTTAACTTAAATTTTAATTTCATCTTATCACTAATATATATTTTAATTTAATTTTGTAACATTTTCATTGCTTTTCAATTCTAAACAATGCATTAGTCTGGAAAATGAAACAAATCAAATTAATGCACTTTATTATCTTGATTTATTATCACCTTATCATTATTATCATTACAGTTATTCTTATAACAGGTGTGAATCAATCATTCGTGCATTAATTCATTTATCATTAATATACATAAATATATGCATGAATCACATACATATATGTTGATAATTTAACAATGATAATACTTTAGATATCTTAATAAGTAATGTATAAGACAAAATGCTTTTAAAAATGGAAAACGGAAAAAATGGATAATAAAAATAATATGATAATGATAATTAATTATCATAATTGATTAAATTAAACTCATTAAACTAATTTAAAATTATGAAATGAATGATAATTATATTTATACATATGCAGAGATATATTCATATGATAATTATTGGTTGAGTGATAATTATACAATAATAATTATCAGTTGATATCCTGTATTTAATGTACGACGAGAAAAGTGCTTGAAAAAGAAAATAGGAGTAAATGAAATAATTGGATTAGCAATGTGATGATAATATCACCAAGTACAATCATTGATAAATTATCAATACAATGAAAATTATCAGTTGATTTTTTTTTAGCCATTTTAGTGGAAAATTTGTTGTGAGTAGAGATCATTTCATTAATCACTTTGAATTGTTAAAATATGATAAACTTGTAAGATGAAAAATATTAATTAATCAATCTTCTTCTTTTCTTGAAAATTAAAGACTCTGAAATATCAATTTTTATTAATTGGATTAAACCTAACTCAATAGTTAGGTTAAATTAAAATTTATGAGTGGTATCAAAATTTAAATTATCTTTTTCTTTCAAAAATTAAATTCTAGGGAAGAGATATTGTATTAAAACCTAAATTCTGTTTCTTTTTTTTTTTTTTTTTGAAATTTAAGAATGCAAAAATTATCAGTTAAAAGATAAATATTTATTGTCAAATAATAAAGAACTGATAACGAAAAAAAACACTGCAAAATGTTCAAATGTTCTTTGATCGCTGTATGTAATTTATGGCAAATTTTCTTATTCATTAATAATTAAATATTGACCTTTGCATCTTATCATTAACTGTATGTGACCTTTTGCTTTTTTTTTTTTTGGGCTTTACACAAAGAATAATGAAATGAGATAAGTTCTTCTTAATGATTTTAATTTAGCAAGTTTGTTTAAATTTAGTAATTCAAAAATTTTAAATAAATAATATATTTGTGCAATTAAAATTTTATGAAACTCGTTTTTGTAGTATTTCTAAATAGTGTTTGGTTCAATTTGAATTTACAAGCAATCTATATTTTTAATAAAAATAATATTTATTTTTTTATTTGCTATTATTAATTAATTTTACATTTAAATCTTTCTTTTTTTCAATGTTTGTTATTAATAAGTAAATTTTATCAAACATTTAATGGATGCAATGTTTTGTCATTTAATTTATAAAAATCATTTAAAAAAAAAAAAAACACTTTATAAAAATATATTTATTATTAGTTGTAATGATGAATTTTAAATTAATTTGGGATTATAAAATTTTTGAAGGAATACATAATTCTATTTTACATTCTTACAAATTTTGTATCAAATTTTTTGTATTTTTTTTGCATTAAATTTTACATTCTTATAAATTTTGTATTAAATTTTATCGTACAATTTAAGTCGAAACAAAAACTTATATTAAGCATTAACATACGATTCACATTTACTAAGCAGTATTAAACAATTGTATGCTATTAATAGCTGAGGTATGCATATTATTTCAAATACTTTGAATAGTTGAAGATCCTCCAACTATTCAAATTTTAAAAATTCAAAAGAAGCCTTTGGATGGTATTGTTTTCACAGTAATCTATCTGAAGTGCTACAATTTCGTCATCGTCGTCTACTGTTATGACGCAGTTCAAAAGGGCATGGGAGGTTTGACGTGTGTTCACGTAGAAGTGCGAAGGTGGGTGCGTGTACGGAATAGGGATAAAATGCAATGAGTAGCCTGAATTGTCAATATTCACCATTAATTTACGAATGAACTAACTTACGTCTAAGTGTTAATCAATATATATGTGAGGTAGTTATATGTTTAGGCGGATGATGTCTTACTATTCAATTTTTTGAATAAAAAATCAAGTGATAAGGATATTTTTGTCATTATAGTTGTTTAATATTGCTTAGTAAATGTGAATTGCTAAATATAAATTTTTGTTTTGGTTGAAATTGTGCGATAAGATTGCGTAAGAAGATTAAAAAGTATTAGTTTATAATTGAAGACTAATTTTTATAAAATTATTGTTCATGTATTTCATCATAAATTTTAAAAAAATAAATAAGAGCAAAATGAGAGGTGAAAACAGAACAAAAGAAATATACTGATTGTATGATTAATCGGATGCAATTTGTAGTTTTCCTACATGTGGTCTTGAACTTAATTTTATTATAATAACTATGTGGTGGTTTTGTAATTTTCGTTTTTCGGTTCTACGTTCGCAATCTTATTTGATTTGAAATATTTAGATAACTTTTAATGATGGTTTTTTTTTTGATAAGAACTTCGCCAAATGGAATGTGTGTTCCCGTAGGACTTGCAAATTTTCTTGAATATGTTCAGAATTTAATTCAGCTCTCCAAGTTCATTCATAATATTTAGGAGTTAGTCATACGTCCGGTATCTGAAGACCTGTTATTTCGTAATATGAAGAGTATTCATAATATGAAGAATCAAGGTTTAATGGTACATCTAAGTTGTTTTAATGAGTGATTTTGAATGAAAACACAAGATACTGAAAATCAGAAAGTTTCACTAATTTATATTTCTATAACTTACACGAAAATTGATACAGTTTATTAATGCCATGAAGCAGTAATTTTTAATGTTTAACGACTCTTATATTTTCAACTTTACAGGGTTTAACACGAAATACCGTACGGCGGAGTTGCGACAAAATGCCGTTTCAGATTGCAAGTTTGTTGGAAAAAATGTCATCAACAGATAAGGATTATCGTTTTATGGCTACAAATGATTTAATTGTTGAATTGCAAAATGATAGCATTAAATTGGATGATGAATCTGAACGAAGGGTACGCTACTTTTATATAAAATTCCATCATCCTGCTATTACTTAGCAGTTTTTTATTATGAGGAAATGTAATATCAACCTCATCCGTATTAAAACTGCTCCATTAATTGGACCAACATAGGAAAATGATTGCCAACATTTTCCTTGTTTTTTGAAAATTTAACATGAAACTTCGCAACATCAGGATCATTTCTTCTATTAGTCAAATATAACATGTTACATGTAAAAATGTACGATTGATTTCTGTTCTGCAAAAACTTTTCATTCTGCATCAGAATCAAATATAAAATCTGGTACTGAAATCATTTTCCATTAATCATGTAAAAAACATATGTAATATGTGCAAAGAAATGGTTAGTTTATGATTAAATAACAAAGAATTCATTTCAGCTTTCATTGTTTTTAGTACAAATGAATGATATTAATTGCCAGTACTGATTTGTATAAAAAGTATTCATGTTAACTTTTTAAGTTTTTAATCATTGAGAAAAAATTAGAAAAAAAAAATTTGTATTAAAAATTACTACTTTTTATGCACCCTCAGAAGATGTTTTCAGGTGGTTAATATGGTTGTGAAGCTATTGGAGGATAAAAATGGTGAAGTGCAAAATTTGGCAGTGAAATGTTTGGGGCCACTTGTACATAAAGTGAAAGATACACAGGTGAAGTATTTTTTCGTGTTTGCGCAGCTGTCGCATTATGTAGATTTTGTTGTCCGTTATTCCACTATAATAATGGCATATCATATGACATTACAATAATGTTCAATTTGAATCTTCTAACAGCAGCTAAACTTTTATATTATCTCCGATAAATTAACGCGACTTTCTAACATGCTTCAAGATTGTGCTTTGATGCGTTTATTGTCGTTACCATTAACGATCTTAAAAATTGCTGTTACTAAACTAAGGAATCGAATTTTTTCATAAAACATTCATTTTTTTTTTTTTTTTTGTTTGATTCGTACATTACTGTTTTAAAGAAAGTGAGTGAGTTTTACTTTCTTTCAACTAGTTTTTCAGCTGTAATATTAAAAGTGTTGAAAAATTAGTTTTGTTTGAGTTATAGGTGGTTAAGAAAGACAGAACTAGTTAGTTAGGTATCTTTCGTTTGATAATTTTTTCGTCTTCTTTTTCGTTTCATAGGTTTCCGTTTCAGGCTCAAGCAATTTTTTCACATCTTTGTGAAACAATGATTAATGGTGATGAGAAGTTGCGAGATGTTTCCTCCATTGCATTAAAGACCGCAGTTGCTGAATTACCTGCTGCAAGTTCTCCTTTAACAGTGGCAGTAATTAAGTTGTTGGTGCCACCACTTAAAGATGCATTATGTAAATCATTTTCAGTTTTAATTCTATTAGTTTTCATGTATTAATCGGATTATTATATTATTTCGGACAAACTTTTATTTTGAATTCATTTGCACTAATTACTCTTCTGCCAACCCAAAAAAAAGGTCGTTTTTGTTTTGCTAAAATGATTACATTACAGCGGATACGGAACGAGTCGATATCTCTGTGAAACTTGAAATAATCGATATTATATCTGATATTCTATCCCGTTATGGATCATTATTTTCACCATATTTGAGAGAGGTTTATTGTTATAACTTATTGAATGAGTTACTATTTGCTGGAAAGTAGGAATTAAGAAATTTTGCGGAATATAATTCCTGTAAAATATTTCAGCTACAAGAAGCTTTACTTCGACAGCTATCCTCGGACCGCCAAGCTCTTCGGAAACGATCCATTATAACGTTATCAAATTTACTGGCCCTTTCAGATGATGCTCTTTATGGAGAAACGATGGATATTATTGTGCAGTATCTTACATCACCTGGAGTATTTATTCATTTGTTACTTTTTATTATTTAGTACAAAGATTTCATTCTGGCGAAAACACCATATCGATTGGTTTACGTGAGCAGAATATTACCTTAATTTTTAGGCATCAGTTATGCAGTTTCGTACAATGGTACAAACATGTCAGAGTATTTGTAAAACAACCAGTCGCCGTTTCGTAAAACATATGTCAAGACTAGTACCAGTACTCGTGGATTATACTGTGGCAACTGAGGATGACGAATTACGTGAATCATGTATCCAAGTGAATATTTTTGTTTGATACATTGAATCGTTTAATATATTTATTATCTAATTACACGTTTCTTTTTTTCTACTTTTATCTCTCTAAATGTGCAGTTTCTTTCACAACTACAGAGCGAAAAATTTTACAGATTTTCTATTTTTTATAGGCATTCGAAACTTTTGTTTACCGTTGCCCTCGCGAAATAACGCCATTCATTCCACATATTGTGGAGGTAGTAGTTAATTATGTCAAACATGATCCTAATTATACTTACGATGATGACGAGGAGATGGATAGCATTTCACAGATAGACACTGATGGTAGTTTTTGTTGACCTAAATTTTGAAATTTCAGACCTATTTGAAGTTACTAAGCGGTGAAAAGAAAAAATTGCCTTTCCTATTAATTCATCAGACAAATATTCTTATCTATATGCTCTCACAAATTCCACCGTGAGTAGTTCACTTCAGTTTAGATATGGCAATGATTATTAAATATATTTAATTGGATCATAATTAAATATATTTTTCTGCAGCTTTATTGCACCAAGGAACATGGTGCTGTTATAGAAATGACAATCAGACGATTTGATTTACCGATATTTTAGTAATTAGGTTAAGTAATTAGAAGAAACAAGTAAATTTTAGTAATTAGTTAACAGTTTATCGATATATGCATTAGAGCAGTTCAATAGTTGGTATTTTAAGTTTTTTAAGCGATTGTTTGCTGACTTTTCAATGAGCAGGTGATATACTGTGAGCCCATATTTCGTCATAAGCTTCATTTTTGCGTTTTGAAAGTGTAATATTTGTTTACTGACATTTGCAAGGAAGATTTTTTCTTTGTAGCATATGATATTTGCTTACATGAAACTGCATCACTTATTTTTTAAAATAGAAAATGAATTTTGATATTGATTAATTAATCACAATTATCACTAAAACTACTAAAATAGGGGATACCGACGACGATGATGACGAAGGAAACGAATACTCAGATGACGATGATATGAGCTGGAAAGTACGCCGAGCATCCGCTAAATGCATTGAAGCTCTTGTATGTTCATGAATGGTTATTTCTTTTTATAAATTAGAATGGAATGTTTATTTTGCTGCATGCACAATTGGAACATAACAAAAAGAACTATTTCTGTTCGTAACCTGCGAAACTAAATAATTGGATTGTTGTGGTAATGAATTGTATAGTTGTAGTGGAGTCACTTTTCAGTATAACTAAATTATACTTAATTGGGTTTTTCCAGACAAATTATTTTCACATAGTTATAAATGAAATCGTTATAGATTTTATCGCGTCGTGACGAAATTGTAAAATATTTAACTTCTTTTGGTCCTCTCTTGATTAGTCGATTCAAAGAACGCGAGGATAATGTGAAGTGGGATATAATGCATGCTTATACGGCATTGCTGTCGCAGATTCGCAATCTGATACCAAACTTTTCAGCCATTTGTGTCGTAAGTTTTCTCGAACGCATAAAATTTATTTAAAAAACACAAATTTTATAATAAGATTAGCTCAGATCATTTAAAAATTGAGCGCACTTCGGTACAGAATCATCTGATAGTCTGGTATACATTATTTCAATTTCATTTTAGCCTGAGAAAAATGGCGATGTAGAGAAAAATGCATGTGGTGACGCAGAAACTATTACTGTTAAAGGTGGTGTACTGCTGCGAAATGCTGTAAGTATGGAGCAACTAGAGACATTGCAGGTTTCTACTTTTCTTATAATTTAACTAAAAAGTATTTAAGTACCACTAAATCATTCAAGTATATGAATGCAAAAGAAAACTATTCAAAGAAAATATAGGCTAATATCTGATTTTTTTTACCTAACAATTTGTTATACTTCTATTATACCTCTAACTCTCCATCTTATGAATCGTTTAGTAGTATGAGTACATTCGAAGTAATGGTTCGTTTGCAGGACATAGTACATCTTGTTAATTCCTTATTTTAGGCTTTAGATTCACAGATTCCTTTACTTGTTAAAGCAGTTAGTCGGTTGCTCAATACGAAGGCACTCAAGACTAAACAGTATTGCTTCGTTTTACTTACGCATCTGTTACGGTTTGTTCATTATTTATTTACTTGATCATTTTTTGGTATTTTCATTCGATATCTTAAATATTTACTATTTATTGCATTTTCTAAGAGCATATCCTGGTGCGCTTGGTGATGAAATACTTCATCTAACGGCTGGAGTGTCAAATGCAATGAATGATCGTTCCTTGAATACAAATATGAAAATTGATACGCTCACCTTCCTATCAGGAGCACTTTGTACTCATTCACCAGAGGTAACATAGAAATACTTTGTCTTTAATTTTCTGATAATCCTAAATTAGTGTGTTGTCTTATGTTAGCAGTTTTCTATTTGTTTAGACATTTGAAAAATTAAGGGAAAAACAGATTTAGCGAATGTAAATTTAAAGTGTGATATTTTAAATATTAAAAAAAAAAGTTCGTTTACTTTTCTTTGTTTTTATGTTTTTCTTTTTGTTTATAATTTTGTTTTTTAGAAATTACATGCATATATGGATGTGTTAGTGCCACTTATTGTGCGTGCTGTTAGTGAACAATTTTACAAAGTATCAGCAGAAGCATTGACTGTTACAACATCACTGATTCGTGTCTTACGTCCAGTGGCATCTGAACGAGGCAATTTTGATTATTCCCCATATGTGGATAGTATTTATGAAGCAATCATTGGCAAATTGAAGGCTACTGATATAGACCAGGTTTGAAAATTCATATATATATATATATATATTTGTATAAAATGCATTATGAGTTAAAGTTCACAGTAATTAATTCGAGGTTCAAATGATAACGTAATTAAAGATCTAAGTATTGAACAGCATTATTGAAACTCTTTGCTAAATATATATATGTGTTCAGTCTTTAATTTGCATTAATTCATAATTAATCCGTTTGGATATTTTCAAAGTAACTGTTGGATTGATATTTTGTTTTCCCATCGTTATCTTTATTATTTATTTATATTTTCCAGGAAGTAAAAGAAAAAGCAATAACAGCGGCTGGTCTTCTGGTTGCAACTTTCGGTGATTTTTTGAAAGAAAAGGTACGAAGTGTATGAATTTTGAAGTTTTCAAGTTAGATAATGCTTTTGTTAGTAAATACCACTATGTTCATTTTAAATGGTGATTATCCTAAAATTTTTTACGAAATATTTCTAGATAACAATATTTTTCGGTGATTTATGATTAATCCATCTTAATATTTTCAAAGTAACTATTGGATTGATATTTTTGTTCATTTAATTGATTGAGTTGGATTGGTATTTTGTGCTCAAGTTTATTCTTCAAGAGTTTTTTTTTGTTAAGCTTCCAACTTGTTTGCCAATATTTTTGGATCGTTTGCGGAATGAAATGACACGTCTTGTCACAGTGAAGGCACTCACAGTAATTGTGAACAGTCCTCTTTCAATTTCATTGCATTCTATTTTGTCGGATGTTTTGTTATTGCTAGCCGAATATTTGCGGAAGAATCACAGGACTTTGAAGGTAATTTATCTTCATTTGTCAGTGAAGCTGTATAGCTTAGATGCAGCAAAATATTACATCTAAAGTAGTATAGAAGGTTTAACGCATTTTTCGATCTTTATTACAAATTTACTGTCTTGAACTACTTTTAGTTATTTTGCATATTGCTAATAACGATAGAGAGTTCCTATGAAATTATTAGAGCTAGCGTGATTTATAGATTTCGACCTTAAATTTGCTGGATTCTTTGGTGACGAACTACAAGTATGGTAGCTTGGATGGTAGTGAAATGATGAGAGTAATACAAGAAACACCTGCTTTGATCTCTGAATTGGATTTACAAATTAGCCAGCTTACTCTTACTTATCTTAGTCGTAAGTACTAATTTTCATGAAAACTATTCCTTTTAGATATAGGTGGCCTACAAAATGGACCTACTCTTTACTATGCTCGCAAAGAAAAAATTTTCTGATGTTTTGATTTCTTAGGAAAAGTTTTTGATTTTTTTAAAGGAAACTTGTCATGTATCACAGTTTATATTACTCTATAATGTAATATATAATGTAATTATAAGTAATTATCTTAATCGCCTATCATGGGACGAATTTTTAGAAAATCTTGATGTATTTTAAATTCACTCTTCAGTTGTCTGAATTTAATACATCAGAAAATATTTTCAGACCTAGTACTTGCTCAACCATTAATTATATCCTGTAGTTTACCAGAGATATTTGTGGCTTATGTGAATCTTCTTCAAAGTTCCCTGCTCCAGGGTGCTACCCTAACAGCTTCATTGAACTTCATTCTAGCGGTGGTCCAGGCAGAAATACCCCAGAAACCATCTTTCGAGGTATTTTAATTATTTTAATTTTTTTTTAGTAATTTTAATTAGAGTTGAAGTTAGGAAATTTCCAAACTCCGTATCTGCATGATTTAAACTTATTTTAATTGGTTGTTGAACAGGAGATGATTTTTCAGGAATTGCTGGATCAGCTAACTGCTCCAGTTTATGATAACATTTCGCTTCATCGCCAAGCCTATCGCTCCATTTCGGCATGTACTGCTGTTGTTGCTTCAGCATCCGGTCAACAGAATCGTTGTTGTAACTTAGCAAAAAAATTATCAGAGCAAATAATGTCGAACGATACAGCAGATGGTGTACGATTGTTTTCTTTGCTTGCAATCGGTGAATTAGGCTGCACTTGTCCACGAACATTCGATAAATTTTCACCAAAGTATATTTTTCGTCTTTTTATTCTGAAAATTTTCAATTTTCGTGCAAATCTAAAGCAAGTTTTATTTCTATGTTTTTTCCTTGAATCTAACATATATAGTAATTCGAAAAAATATAAGTTGAGTTTCCTCACGTAGGATTGATTATATGCACTTTTCTTTTGCAGATAAGAAAGTTTATTACATCAGAAATTACTTGGTTAAGTATGCTATATGGTATAGTAAAAAGTTTGTCTTGTCATAAAGCGTGTAGCATTTATGTATTTTTTTCAACATTTTGACAAAAATTTTAAATGTTAACGCTTATTTTCATTTTTGAAAAGCATATGTATTTTGGTGGTAATCAAATGATTTAAATGCAAATTCCTTTCAACTATTCAACTATAGGAATTTTAGGCCGGAAGAACTTTTAGTGAATGCTTTCAATACAACATCAGAAGAGATGAAAACAGCTGCATCTTATGCATTAGGAAGGCTTGCCTTAGGAAATCTCGAAAAGTATCTTCCATTTTTGCTCGAACAAATCAACTCGCAACCAAAGCGTCAATATCTTCTATTGCATGCTTTGAAAGAAGTGCAGTTATTTTTATATTTTTTTTTCACTGTTATTTGTTTATCTGCTTTAACTGAAAAGCTTAAAACTATAGAAAATTAACAACAGAAAATTTATTGCTATTAGTTATTAAAGGATTGTGGATTGTCTTGCAGTATCAAGACATGTATAGCTTTCTGTTTGCAAGTTAAGCATTGATAATATCCTATTTATTGTGATTGACCTATGTTTGATTTTTTTTTCTGTTTTTATTCGCGTAAGATTATCTTTCCACTTGTCAAAAAACTGAATTCTTTCTAATTTCTGTTCTATATTTTAATTGTTTTATTTCACAACTTTTCTTTAGGTAATTGGTTCGGAAAGTGGTGATTCTCGGGCTATAGAGATTTTCCGCCCAAGGATTGAACAAATTTGGCCCGTTTTAATCACCCATGCAACAGCTATAGAAGAAGGCACGCGGAATGTTGTCGCCGAATGTCTTGGCAAATTGTGTCTTGTTCATCCCGAACAATTGTTGCAACGACTAAAGGTCCGTCTTTTAGTGAATTCGATTTTCTGCTGATTCTATTTTTTGTTGGTCTTGATCCCATTCATTTTGAATGTACGCAATGAAATTGGTGAAATCTGATGTTATCAATATAGGTCCGTTTCTCTCTTTATTTTTCAGAAATGTGTAGTATCACCGAATCCATTTATGCGTGCAACAGCAGTCACAGCAGTGAAATTTTTAATTGTTGAACAATGGACAGCTATTGATGATCTGCTGCAATCATTAATGACGCATTTCCTGCAGACTATTACGGATCAGGATCTTAATGTACGTCGAGTGGCATTAATAGCTTTCAATTCAGCTGCTCATAACAAACCCAAACTGGTCAGTTCTTAATCATTTTTATAATTTGGCTTTTCTAATAGAACAGCTGAAAATATGTGATACAGAAAACTTGTGAAGTTTTCCGGTTATCTTAAAAGTTACAAAATTAAGTTATGTCAAGCTGCAAGACCATCGATAACATTAATTAATGATCTATATCGTTTCATATTGTAAGATTTTTTCGGAGTATATGATATTTTATTATTTTTCATCATTGAATACTCCTATTTTTAGAAGGTTTGTTATCCTTGTTAAAGGATTCAAATTTCATTTCTTTCAACGGCTAACATTTTTTTTCTTCCTTTATTTAGTTTATTAAAGATTAGAGATTTGCTGCCTGTCTTTCTGCCGCTACTATACAATGAAACAGTGGTTAAGAAGGAATTGGTTAGGGAAGTTGAAATGGGTCCGTTTAAACATACTGTTGATGATGGACTTGACCTACGGAAGGCGGCTTTTGAATGGTTAGTTTCATTGCAACCAAAATTAATGAAATTGTAAAATTGATCAAGCTAATATTTTTTGTTGATTATGGAATACATAAAATCTGATGATTTAGTTTTCAATGTTTTCTTTAATTCTGTATGGTTTCAGTATGTATACATTACTAGAAACATGCTTGGAACGGTTGGATATTTTTGAATTTATTACACATATGGAAGACGGACTAAAAGTAAGTAATTTTTGTGATATTTTAAACAAATCAGATTAATGTTCCTTGAAAATAAACAATTTTATGACTATTATTAATTAATGTCTTGTAGTTTTTACAAGTTTTTAGGATCAACACGATATCAAATTGTTGACCTATTTAATGCTTGCACGTTTAGCTTCCTTATGTCCTTCGCAAGTACTTCAGCGACTCGACAGTCTTTGTGAACCGTTGAAAGTATATTTTATATTACATATATTCTTGATGTTCATATTAATGAGTTCTTCTTTGTGTGAGTTATCACATAAGTTTATATATATATTTATTTTTATATCATGTGGAAAAAGTGCTTAGCACATAGATGGTATTACGAAGGTAATTACACAGTAAATCAATTAACTTTCGTTCTTATGGCTAACGTAAGTTATTTCATTACTCAAAGCAAGCTCATTATGTATATGTCGATCATTTAGACTCAAATACAAGCCAGAGCTAAAGCAAATGCAGTGAAGCAAGAAAATGATAAACAAGATGAGCTTCGAAGAGCAGCACTTAGAGTTGTTGTTGCTTTGCAAGTAAGTGTATGACATTTTAGATTGATATATGTCATTTTTATTTCAACGTTAAATCTCGCATTTGAACGTTAAGTCTTCCCTAATCAGATACTTAAACTTTGTTAACACTTTTAATTGAAACCTTGAGGATTTCATCATGAATGCATAGGATTTTATTCATGTAATTGATTTTGTTTTTTTATTAATAGCCAAAGATTTTTACCATTCATTGTACATTTTAGCGTATTCCTGAAGCAGATAGACAGCAACAGTTCGCTGATCTTCTTTCTATAATTCGTAGTTCAAGTGAGATAAATGCTGTTTATCAGGTAACCAGCATTTTTACTACAATCGTGCTTTTAAGATTGCATAGTTTTAATTTATTACAGTAAATATAGTAAATGGTTTTTTTTTTGTTTAAATTTTTACTATTTATTTTTTACAGCTAGTGGAGCGCGATGCAGTTCATCGCTTGTATACTTCTGAATTCAAAGGTATTTAATGAAGTTCGCTTTATAGCAAAGTGCTTTTCATGAATTAGTGATACGGGAAAAAACAAATCTTTTTTTTTTCTTGTATTTTTTTTTTTTTTGTATTTATATGCTTTCCTGTAAAATAAAATTGCGACCATTATTTGTGAATTAGGAAATTTTTGTGGTACACTTTGGAATATTCTTTGCCTTTTAATTCTGTTCGATTATATTGATCGTTTAAGTTTACCATCAGAAATATTTGCAAAAAAAAGAACAAAGTTTCTAAAAGTTTTAATTGTATTTTAAAATTTTTTTAAGGTTCTATTTTCTTAATGCTCTGATTTAGTTGAAGTAATATATTTAGATATAATCTCATGTCTAAGTTTTTTTGTGTTTACTACATGTATTGTTCCATAGTTTTAATAATATTCGTGAGGTTACTAACGGATGAGAATTCCTCTTAAAATAATAATTATTGATTTAATACATTACAGTTTGTCTTATTTTGTTTGTTCTGTTTTCTTTTTTTTTTTTTCTTTGTTAAATCTTTTTCCATGGTTATTTCACGAAATCATTTTATTGATTAAATAAAGATTATTTCTCTTTGCTAACAATATATATGGACAAGAAATGTTTTTCACATAATTCTTATCTCTCTGTTGTCATTAATTTTGTTCATTACTAATTGCTTTCATAATGATAATACTATAATATTTGCCTTTATAGAGCAATAGTAGTAGTAATGGTGGTAGACGTGACAGCATTTCCATTACAGTTACCATTCATGTTATTTTTTCTTTCACTTTTTATAGGTTATATCATTATTGTGCCATCTAATCTTTGACCTCTTTTTTAGTTTGGGGTTGGTTTCAGACGTCGTTTAAAAAGAGCGAAAATTTCACAAATTGTTTATATACCAAAGTGTAATAATGCAAAAAATTTCAAACTGATGTTAATCTGCTTACTATTCATCAATTTTGCAGTTAAAGCATTCTATTGCTAAAACTAACTACTTTTTCATATCTAGGCTTGTCTTATGTTACTTATTTCTTAATTTTCTGCTTAGCTTTCAGCGATGGATAATTGTTAAAGTAACAGTATGATATACATTTATTTCTTTTTTAAAATGTTGGAAGTTTCTCCTTTTTTTTTTTTTTTTTCGACAGCATTTTTTGTATTATAATATAATCCAGACTGAAAGAGAGCATAAAACATACAGTGCTCATCAGTATATTTTATTTTACATTTAGAATAATGACTCGATGGTGTATGATTGGTTTTTTGCCAGTAGCATTATATTTTCTAATTCCTGTTTTTATCCATTTTTTCCCATGGTGTTTACAATATATGTTTTTCCTTAATTTTGGTAAGTTTTAATTTTTGATTTTACTTAATATAATTTGAAATTCAATTAATTGCAAATAATATGTAAAATAATATAGTTTTATGTTATTGAAATATCTTGCTATACGATACATATTTCACTTTTTTTTCTGTTTGAAATTATGTTTTTTTAAATATTTACGTTATATATTTATTGATATTTTTTTTTCATTAAATTAACCAACTGCTATTCCAGCTTTTGTTAATTTCAGTGAGGATACCATTCCAAAATTTTGCAAATTTAACACATTACGGTATTAATTCAGCGGGAAGAAATTTTTATTTGCGAGGAGAGAATGGATTGCGATTGGGATGTTGGTTAGACATTGATTTTTTTTTTTTTTTTTCTTCTTTTTCAATATTTGTAATGAAAATGAAGATTGCAAGATAAAAAGTTAATAATGGTTCCAGAATTTAATGTCATATTTTTTCAAATTCGAATATTTTTGCTTAAAACAGCCAGTGTTTTAACCATCTCAGTATTTTTTTGACTTTTTAATAGTTCTTTTTTCGTCAGTCTAATAAGTTTTTTCCATTATAATATCTTTGAGATAGAGTAGACCGAAAAGTATTTTCATACTTGAGCAATGATTAGTATATCTTAACTAAGTGAGTAGAATTTCATATATTTTATGGTAGCCATAAATTATTATCATTAATTTATTACCACTATATTTTAATTTTTCCTGGATAATTTTATAACGTAAGACAACTTATAACTGTTTAAGGCATATATTACCTTCTGAGTTAGCCATGAGCTATCGGTACTCAATATTAAATGCGAGAGAAATGGAACTTCTTATGGCAACAGAAAATAATCCAGTAATTGTATATTTGCATGGCAATTCATTTGATCGGTTCGTCAGTCATTGTCATACATTAAAAAAGAAAAAACTTTCAATTAAGTTTTCAGTTTTGATAGTTGAAATGATTGTTTAATTTTTTTTTCTTACATATATTTTATAGATCACAATCAACTCGCTGTGGATTGTATAATTTATTGACTAATATGGGTTTTCATGTGTTAGCTTTAGATTATCGTGGTATGCTTCCTTTTTTTTTAAAGTAGATGTTTATGAAGCTTAATGCTATCAGTAATTCCTCATTACTTAATCAGAGAATGCATAGTTTGTGATTTCTTGCACAGATGATTTCTATATTACTCACTGTGAAATTTTTTAATATGTATTAAGTAATTTTCTGTAGGATATGGCGATTCAAATGGTTCACCAAGTGAAAATGGTTTAATTGAGGATGCAAAAGAGATATTTCGATATGCCAGAAGTCGTTCGGGTTCAAATAACATATATTTATGGGGGCATTCAATGGGGACGGCGTATGTTTTTTTTTTTTTTTTGCATTAATTGAATTGATCAAAATTCTTGACGTTAAATCCATCATCATTCATCTGTCATTGATTTCACATCTTTTATTAACGTTCGTTCTGAATTATGCGGGTAAAATGTTTCTGAATACAGTTAGTCTACTGACACAATTAGAAAGATGTCATTTATTTCGTTCATTTTTTTTAGCTTGATTTTCTAAGAATGATTTTTCTCTTTCTTTAAGAATAAAACTTTTCACTTTTTTTTTTTTTTCAATAAATAATGTTTTAATTCTTTTATTCAAAGTCCACATCCCTTCTTGATAATCAATCTTTTCTTTAAAAGGTAAAATTACGAGCATTCAATTATTTATCTTTTGTTTATTTTTATTTTTTTTTATCGTATGATTACTTCATATTAATCATCAATTATACGGATTTCTGATCTAGAGCACCTAATACATATACCGTTAAAGTGAAAATTATTATTGATTTTGCGATGATGTAATTAAATATTCTATCATGCGTAATTTCTTTTAGAATTGCTACAGCAGCTGCAATGGAATTCAGTGAAAAAGGATTGTCACCAACTGGTTTGATCCTAGAATCACCATTCAATAACCTCAGTGATGTTGTTACTCACCATCCATATGCAATACCATTTCGTTGGTTGCCATGGTTTAAAAATATGGTATTAGAATCATTAGACAGATCCGGTTTAGATATGAGCACCGATTATCGTATCACAAAGTATGCTTTGACCAGAATGTTTCATTGAATCGTTTGAAAATTATGAGTTTGCATTTAGGTTTAACATGGTTTTTCTACTACAAATGATATACTTTATATGCAAATAAAAATTTAGTATGGATTTTTTCTGTTTTTTTGCTGATCTGAAGCTTAAATTTTTGTGGAACTGAAATGTAAATAAGGCATTCGAGTTTTTAAAATACAAAATATCAAATAGCGAAAAACTGTCAATGGGAAATTTTACATATTGGATGAAATGTTTTAGTTATACCACATAGGACAAGTTCATGATTTCTGATCATGTTAGAATTGAATAATTTATTGTAGGGTGGATTGTCCAGTTTTGATATTGCATGCCGAAGATGACCATATTATTCCGCTGCAGTTGGCTCGTAAGTTACGTGACAGTGCAATGGCTGCTAAACGTGATGTGACGCTAAAAGAATTCGATGCAAGCCGTAATTTTCACCACAAATTCATCTATCTGGCTGAAGAATTGCCTAGAATTCTAAGGTTAATTTTGTTTTACATTTTTCGAAAAAACGATATAGTATTAAAGTTTGAATAATAAAAACTAGAACAACGAATATTTATCTAATTTGAACATAGTGCAACAAATTTTATTTTAAGTTACAAAACTAAACAATATTATGCAATAATCTTTTTGATTTGTAACAAAATTTGATGCAGTCATCAATTTCACTACAAATTCATCACATTATTATTACCGCGGTTGTACTTTTCCTATAGCCTTAGGATTTAAAGTTTCAGGCGATTTGTGGAGAAATGTACTTTAAAAACCAAGAAAGCACAGGAATAGAAATATGTGAATGACCGCATGATTCAACTTTGATTATATTAGGTTCTATAAAATTTTCAATTAGTGGATCTAGTCATTTCCGATATTTAACTATTTCACTTTATCTCTTCGTTGCTTTCATATTTATTCTAACCTTCTTGTATTCTAATTTTACAAGACTATTTGCTTCTCTTGTATAACTGTTAGTGGGATTGTTTGTGGTAACTGCTAGAATTATTTTTCTCTGTCCATGCAAAACTAACATAATTAACAGATATTGTTATATATATAGACTTCGAATTATAAATATTTTATATGGATTGCATCTTTTGTTAATTAGAATCAATAAAACCTCAAAAAAACAAAGTTTGATCATATGTTCATCACATGTTAAATTAAGCAATCGGGGGTGTTTCTTGGAGCAATTTTATATTTCGACAAATCTCAAGCATTTGTCGGAAATTGGAAAATTTTTGGTCAAATCGTCTATAAATTTTCTTCCTGTTAAATTTTCATTAAAGGATGCTTAATAGCTCTGCTTCATATAGGTATTATCTTACTAGCCACTACTCATTTACCTTTAATCATCATACATTTATTATGATTTATGGCTTATATATCCTAATTAATTAATCGGAACTGGCAATAGTTGTAAAATATATTCATTATATTTGTCATTCCATAATTCCATAGTGCAATATTACACTTTGCAATGAAATTAATGCATTATAAAATGTATATCTCATTCCGTTTCAATTAATCAGTCAATATTATACATTGTTTGGTTCATTTGATTATTTTTTCTTATCATTTTAATAATTTATTGTGATGAAATTAACAGTATTAAATTTGTTGTTTATTTCTTCTCCTTCTTTCTTGCTTTTTCTTTATCTTTTTTCTTAACATACAAGCGAACCTACACAAACAAATATTAGCTATGAAGCAAAAAGTAAAACGAAGAGTATATGAAGTATAGTAATAAGTCATTTTAAATGTTACTCTTTTTAGGATGTAAGAAGTAAATGAGTATTAGATAAGGACCGATAAGTTATACGTTTTCGTTCGAATTTCAAATGTTACATATATGAGAAATGGCGATATTTTGAAGAAAAATACATTTTATTTTTAATAAAATTTAAATTTGTTGTTTTAATAAAAGTTTCAGTAGATTTTATTCCCTTTTGTCGTTTCGTTTTACTGTTGTTTATTGATCATTATTCCTGAATGAAATATTTCAAATTTGTTATTTTGAGTTGGAACAAAGAAAAAAAAGAAAAACTCTAGAAAGATAAGAGTGATATGATGGACTCGATTATAAAGAAAACAAAAGAAACTCTAATAATAAATTAACATTATTAATGAATTTGGGGAAATGTTAACTTTCATGTAGCAAAAAAAAAAAAAAATATGTTATCATAAACATGCAAGTTAGATTTAACTTTCATAGTGATATACATGTTTGTTAATTAATTTCTTATCATTAATTTGTAGATGATATGATTTCTGATACAGTATCGGAAAATAGTGATAAGAAACGAACGGTAAAATTTGAGTATACAGCAAAATATAAAACGTTAGAGCAAAAAGTTTCATATGATGCACAAATTCCATTAACTGATGAAAATCCAATCGATGAAATAATCTCGCACATTTATGTGACAAATAAAGTTTTACCATTATTTTATGAAGGTTAGTATTTCTTTCTTTCTTTCTTTCTTTGTTTTTTTTTCTAATTTGTTTGAAAAAAAAAATGTTTTTCAAATTTGAGAAGGAAAATAGTAGGCATTAGGAGTTATTATAATTTTGTATTGGAGGGAGGAAACTAGTGTTTATCATTTTTATCATTATAACAGAATAATTGCATTGTTATCATTCTAACAGACGTAATTTATCATTACATTTGATTAAATTGAATGAAATTGAATTAAATTAATTAAATGAATTCGTCTAATTTGAATGATTTTTGATTTAATTTTATTTTTTCAAAATATTCTTACCAAAATTTTAAAAATTTTTGTAGATATTGCGGATGCATTTCATCGTTTCATTGATGAAGAGACATGGAAATATGAAACAGAAATGGGTGATGCTATCATTAATGCATTTTTAAATGAATGTGATAGTGAAAATGATCCACCATATGTTCGAGAGTTTCCTGAGGTAATAATTAATTAACTTACACTTTAGTATATAATTCTATTTTTACTCCAAATATTATACAAGTATTGTTAATTATTATTAGGAAAATTTTAATGATTTAGACAAAAATAAATTTTTATTTTTTGCAACAGCAACAGTAGATAGTTTTCGAATTAGAATTCAATTATTGGATTATTTTACGATTAACGAGTTATTTTAGACCACAAATGATACAAAATCTTGTGATGCTCTTCAATTTGCTGATCAATTCCAGTTTATCATGCGAAATTTGTCACCTGAACGATTGAAAATAATCATCAAATGGGAGAGAAAAATGGAAAATGAAGTATGCATATTTTAATATGGCAAATTTGAAAATAGCACAAAAAATTTAAATAGCAAATTATTTTTTCCATTTTTTTCCTCCAATTTGTTTATTTCTTTGATGAAATTTCATCGAAGCACTTGTTGCATGTTTTAACTTTGCGAATTTCAATTTGATTTCTTGAGTTTTTATTTCTAAGATGTCATCGTTGATACGTGCTCGAGATTTCGAACTTGACCGAATGTATCGTAAATGTGAGCAAGCAGTAAATGCTAGTGTTACAAAAGATGATCGAATGCTACCCGAAAGTGGACAACACTTAAGTCGCTTAAATGAACAAATTCGAGTTAGAATTTCAACTATAGCATTTAATATTTTACGATCCACTGATCATTCAAATTTTCCACACAGTACTTTCAATGTTGTCATGATAATTCATTGATAATCTGTCAGTGATAGGTTGTGATTTTGGGGCTAAGCAAATGATTAAGCTTTTTTTCAATTATTTTATCCTTACTTCCATTTAAAATTTTGAGACAATTTTTAGGAATTTAATTTGAATAAAATAAGCAAATTATATTATTGTATTTTGCGCTTAAATTTGAAACATATAATTATAGGAAATCAGTAAGAATTATGCTGAGCAAATTCGTACCCTAACATCACGTCAACGTCAATTTTATCGAAATATGATCAAAAGTTTGTACGAACATGATAAATTCCCAGCTGAAGCAGAAAGTGCCTTATCTGGTGATTTAATTTCAGTTAAAAGGTATTTTTTCTTTTTTTGTATTCATTTTTGTCAATTTAAAGTTAGTTTTCAGAAAATATTTTGTTTACTGATATCGATTATTGCTTAGAGTGCTGTACTTCGAGATGTAAGCATAAATTTTATTTGGTGTTGAAAACATTGGCAAGTTTTTTGCTTTTTCTTTTCTTTATACTCAGAGCGAAAAATAAGACTCTTGATCTTAAAAAAAGCTTTAATTAAGAAAAAAGTGAAACATTATTAAGTTTGGAATTAAAGTGTTTGCATTTCCCTTTGAAAAATTAATTTGATTTGTCTTAAGTTGTATATTAATCCAATGCTTTGATAAATTTTTAGTTTTTCTCTCCTTTTTTTAAATGAATTATTCGACTAGTAAAATTAGTGGAAAGGAAAATACTATTTATCAATAGCTTATAACATAGTGCAGTAAAAAAGTGAATTAAAATACGCCTTGAATGAACTCTATTGTTCTAAATTTTAGCTTATTTAAGGCCTTTGCCATCAGCTTCAAGTTTGGATGCAGTTAAAACAAAAGCTAACTTTTCCTTAGATGAAAGTTTTACAATATATCTCGGTAATTTCTCATTTTATTCTTTGAAAATTTTCTCCTTATAACCTATGATTCATTTTATTGCACTGTTCCTTGAAAACTGTTAACTATTTTAATATATTTGATTGTAGCATATTCCTATTGAAACACTTTTTCATTAATCCAATATTACATCATTTTCATTTGTTTGATAGATTCAAATTAAATAGCTCTAAATTAAATGGTACTTTTTTCTTTGAAAAAAAAAAAATCTATAATCAAATTTTGAGTAATTTAAGGTGCTCAATTAAAAACAATGCATAATGTTCGATTATTGACTTCTCCAAGTTTAACAGATCTCTGTCGTCCTCCTGTTATCTCTGAGGATGATGCTTCTGCTACAGGACGATTACAGATGAATCTTACTTTATATGGCAGAAATTTAAGTGGTTTGGTACTTCTTGTAGAAAAAGATCCTATGTTTCATATCAATGAACGAACAGGTGTGCATTTTCATATTTTATTAAAATTTCATTTTATTTAAAAAAACTTCATCTTGGATCACTTTGAAAATGATTAAAATTTCACTTCATTTATTAAAATTTCATTTCCAATTTTTTTTTTTTTTTGCTCAAAGAAATATGCTCAACTTATTACTGATTACTTGATTACTTATTGACTGCATTTTTTTTTTTTTTTTTTTAGATTTTTATAGACTCTGCGAACATTCCACCGAACTTCATTTTGATTCACTTGAAGATCAATTAAAGCAAGTATTACCATTAGTAAGTTTATTCCCTTAAAAAATATCTCTAGATTTTTTTTACCATTAAAATAGTATATTTCACTTTCACGAATTGTGTTCATTTAGAGCTATCAAATATTGTTTAATATGGAGTGATCATATATTTTATTTCATTTTTCTTCTGATGCATTTTTATTTTCTGTTCTAGGATATTGTATTATTATCTTAAAAAAACAGCATCTTTTGGTTGCTAACAATCAAACTAAAAAAAAAAAAAATCAGATTAATTTGTTTTAATTCAAAGCAATCAGAAAAAAAAAAGAAAATTTGTTTTAGAAAATTTGATACTTGCTAAAATTTATTCAATAAATGGCAAATTATGGTCATTTGTAGCTACCAAATATTCTCTAATATGAGAACTATGTATTTTATATCTTAAAATACTTTATTATATTTGATATCTTGAAATATTTTATTATATGGTCAGTATTAAGTTCTGAAGTGAACAGTTGACATAGTCTATGAGTAGTAGTTTTATGCATCTTTTAATATTTTTGGAATTAAATTGTACAAATGAGTGTATCAATGCTGGAAATGGAAAAGTATCAAACATTTATAAGCAAATATTAAAATATACTTTTCATGAAATGGAAAAGAAAGGAGAGTAGAATAAAGCATATAAAGTGGAAAGATCTGATGATAATGATTATCTGATAATCATATCATTCTAAAGATGAAATCAATATGGTTTTTGTATACATGTTATCAATCATAAATTATCTCACATTTTTCATTAATCTATGGTATAATGAAGGAAATCTTCTTTTTTTTATACTTGTTATAATTATATTTTTACATCATTTTAATCCTTTTCAGATTTCAAAAATGAGAGATGATGTTCATAGTGAAACAAATGATAATAGCAATGTTAATAATAATGATGATGATGATGATGATGAGTCACAACTTCCAGTTGGTAGTTTGTATGTTACCCGACATTCCAATCTTTCTTCAATTCAGGTTTATATTATGAATAATTTTTAAGTGTTTTCTTTTTTTTTTTTTTTGTGTTTGCATAATTATTTCCCAGACAAAAACGATTTTTTATTTATTTGTGCATAATAATAGTAAATAATAATAATAATAATTATTATTATTTTTTTTTTTGTTATAAGATGAAGATGATTGAACTTATTGAATTAAAAGTTTTTTTTTGTCTTAAATTTTAGGTTGTCTATCATTTGGTTGTGGATAAATCATTGGAAGATGATGAAATTTCTAGTAGGTAAGGACGAGAAATCATATACATATTAGAATTTTTCGCACTCAAAAACTATAAATGTCTCATTTTAATATGTCATGATTAATTTGAAATTTTTAAAATGTTTTTATCAATGGCTTTTTTTTTTTTATTTCCTTTATTTTTTAATATGATAATTTTTTTTCCTCTTTTTTTTTTTGATTTAATGATTAATTGCTTGTAGTTTTTTTCTTTTTTTTTTTTTTATCTATTCACAAGTCAATAGGCATTTTATAGCAATATTATTATTAGACTTTTATTGTTAACATGCTTATATCTATTAGTATTTTCAAGATTTGTTTCAAAGATTTGAAATTTTTCACTGAAATTGAAATTTATTTTATTTTTTTATTTTTCCTTTGAGGCATCCATGTATCAATGGTTTACGAAATGCTATCCGATTATCATCTAAATTTGGTGTGACGACATTCACTTTACCTCTGCTACTTGTTGGCAAAGCAAACGAGGTATAATTCATATTGCATTCATAAAAAATTTTCTAAAATTTTCAGCAATTCATTTTTTTTTTTTCAAATGAAGAATTTGAACATTATTTTATTGTTAAAATTTTTGTTCTGAAATGAAACGATTGTGAATAACGATTACAGGTTTTCTAAAAAAAAAAAATGAAACAAGTTTTTTTTTTTTTTCTTTTTGTTAATTATATCTACACTAAATTGAATTTTACAAGCATTTTTTAAGTTTAATTTTTTTTTTAATTCAATGCTTTAAAAAAAAAAGAAAAAAAAAACTGAAATTAAATTGCAGCATATGACTGCAAATTGGTGTATGAAGCGAGCTGAATTAATTTTCAAATGTGTGAAAGGATTTATGATGGAATCATGTTCAGGTAGCTCAACAGCAGGTGCACCTCCTATAGCTACCACTCATTTCAATTTCAATTTTGTTTTACCGGATAATTTGCAAGCAACCATTTATACTGAAATTTTAGAGTTGTTCCCAACAATTTTTCATATGGTACCATCAGTTGTGATGTAAATAAAAAAAAGAAAATAACCTACTTAATCATATGTCATAAGCACTAACACAATATTATCATTTCATTCACAAGAAATGCTTTAAATGACGAAATTTGTAAATTTAAATATTTTAACATCTGTCACGATTATGCAACTTATCATATTAGATTTGATGTTCAAAAATTACAAAATTAAAATTTGGGAATAAAAAGTTAGAAGTTAAAAAATTTTTTGAAAACCTTTCATTGGATTATTTTATCACATATTTTGTAATATACATATAATAATAAATATACATGATAATAATGTAACTTTTAAAATAATCTTTTGATCAATTTATAATGAATTTTAGTCAAGAATTTAAAATGAAAGCGAAAAACTATATTGCGATTAACATTTTAATGTCTCAATTATGTATCAAATTTTTTTTTTTTTTCAACTTTTTTCATTTCGAATGTTTTCTTTGAAGAAAAAATTGAAAAAAGAAACATATTAATGTATATGTTAATAAACAAATAAATTGCTTTTTATTTATGTGTGAAATTTTCATTGATAATTTTTAACAAAAATTTTGAATTTTTTCTTTTTGAATGAAGTTCAGATGAAAGGAAAAAAAAAAAAAAACTGTAAAGCAGGTTTTTCTTTTCTTTTCTTTTTTTTTTTAAGCTTTAAATTAATTTGAAATATAAAAATGTTGCATTAATATACATGCATTACGTTGAAAATTTCCGCTATTTAAATATAACATTTAAATAATTATTTGTTTTTTTTTTTTTTTTTTTGCTTTTATTTTTCTTACCAAAGAAATTTTTTTTTTTTTTACCTCAATAAAATGAAAATTTTTGAATAACTGATGTTAAAGAATAAAAAAAAAAAAGTGAAGAAATCCAGTTCTGATGAAAATTTCTCAAACTATCCATTTAAATGTGACGTCAAAAAGGGAATAATGGAGAATAAACATTGAATTTGTAAAATGTTCAACAAAATTCTCCACCCTATCACATTTTATCCTTTCGCCAATTTCTTTCTCATTTTTAATTTTATATTTAAAAATATTTGCTCAGCAACAATTTATACATTTAATTCATTCTCTAATGGAAAATTTCTTTTTTTTTTTTTCAATCTTATTAGCATTTTTATTGATAAGCATTGACTGATTTACTAAAAATTCATAATTATTTTATTGCAATTTTTGAAAATTTTTTTTGTTTTTAGTTACAACTATTAAAATAATTATTTGCTTCATCGATTAATTAAATTAATTATTTTCATTGCTCAACAATTAAACTAATTATTATTGTTTTTCTTTTTTTTTTTTATGTTTATATGTCTTGAATTATGATTACTGCTACAATTATTAATAATTTCCTGTTTATATTATTCTACACAAATATTGCAAAAATTTATGGAGAATTGGTAAGTTACACTGTTATTATTTTTCTTTTCCTCTTTCTCTCATCTTTTTCCCTCCCTTTCCCTCTCTCTCTCTCTCTTTATATTTTTAAAAAGTGAAAATTTCAAATATTTATTTGGTTTAGCACTTTTTTTTCTCCTAAAACTTTATTATCTACGATTGAATTAGATGAAATTAGTTGAGAAAAATTTTTTATCAGAATTTGCATATTTTGCAATTAACTTTTTATTTATATTTTGCATTTATATAATAATTCAAAGTAACAAAAGCAAAAATTTAGTTTAAAATAAAAAAAAAAACATTAAATTTAATTAGCAAATATTAGTTTTGAAAAATGAAAATACTATAATAATAAATTATCAATTAAATAATTTTTCTTTTTCATGCTAAAAAATTTTAATAATAAATGAAAAAAGCATTAAGATTGAAAAACATTTTTATGAAAATGAATTCCTCCATCAAATGAATGATCAAAAATTGAAACTGTCACCAAATTAATATGAATAGAGTGAACTGTTGAATCAAATTTTCAAATATTTAATTCATATATCAAATATTGATTTTGCATTTTAATATTTTCATGATAATAAAAATTTTTTTTTAATATTTATTTCTTGAATAATTAGCTTTAAACAGATCGTTTGAACTATTATATTATATTAATTTATTTTGAACAATTTTTCAATAAATCATTGGAATGGATAAAACAACTTTGTCTCCCAAACAGTAATTTGTTTTTTTTTTTCTTTTTTAAAAAAAATTCATATTTCTCAATTTATATAAAAAATCTTCTAAATTTTTAATTCAGTATAATAGTAGTAGTATTTCTTAATTTATATGAAAAAATTCTAATTTTTTCAAGAAGTAAAAATTATTCTAGCAAAAAATTTCATAGAAATACTCAATTTATATGAAGAAAAAAATTTTTCAAATGTTTATCACTCTGCCTGCACATTTGTGACTCTAAAAGTTAATTTTTATATTTAAAGCATTTTCTGGCTTATATTTCTTTTTAATTATAATAATTATTATTATCATTGCTATTATTATTGTTGTTTATTATTATCATTAATTATTATCAATTTTATTATTATTATTATTATTGCTAATATTATAATATTAATGTTCCCCGATTTATTTGTTAAAATGTTCAAAGTAAAAACTAAAAAATATTAAAATTCTTAAAGCATAAATCATATGGAATCTTTTGCTTTTTCTATTTAAAACTTTTTTTTTCTAGTAATACAAAAAATAAAATTTCTTTAATTTCAATTCTTTGATCTCTATTTTTTCCACTTTTCATTTCAGAATTATGATTTACCTCGTTATAACATACAACAACAACAACCAAATATTCCATTTCAAATGACAAATAACGAAATGAGACCTGGATTTCGTTTAAAAAAAATCGCATTAAGCGATCAGCAAAGAGCGCAACTGTCTTGGTTAGCTGCTAATACAGAAACAAATGATCAACGCTCTCGAACATTTCGTTTAATAAGCAAACAACCACAACAATTATTATCAACAAATCATATCAACAATAACAATTATTATTATCATCATAAATTATCATTAAAACCAACCTTATCACCAATTTATTATGCATCAAATTTGCGAACTGTTCCACCAATGTATTATTATCATGATAATTATTTATCACCAACATTTACTCAACCTATTTATCTACCTGGTATGTTATTGTCTTCTTTTTTCTTTTTTTTCTTTTTTAAAAAAAAAGATAATTTTAAAGAATGAAAAAGTAAAAGAGGTAATTTATTATTTAATATAAAAAAATAAATATTTTCTCTTTTTTTTTTTTTTTGATGAAAAAATTTGATGTTATTATCAAAATTTATTATTTTTAAAAATTTCAATTTATTTTTTTCAAAATATTAGCAATGATGACAGCAATTCGTAATATAATATCTATTCTTCAAAAAACAATGTATCCGACTGATAACACTGATATCGATTATAACACTACCACACGTGGCATCACAAAAGATGCAAATTTGTCCAACAACAATTCACAATTACCGCAATCATCAACATCATCATCTTTATCACTGTCATCATCATCATCACTATCATTATCATTACCATCATCATCATTCTTGTTATCATCATCGCCATCAGCAACAGCAATAGGAAAAGTGGAAGAAGTGGGAGTAACATTGAAATCCGGAAATGATGGTGGCATAGAAACAGGAAAAATAGTTAATGTGGAAGAAATGAAAGGAACAGGTATTCGAGAGGTAAAATTTTTAATTAATAACGGATTAAAAACTTTTTTTTTTTTGCATAATTAATAAAATAGCAACTATTTATAAATTTGATTTTTTGTTTTAAAAAATTTTATTTGAGAAGAAAATTCTCTTTTTTTTTTTAATTTTTAATTAACAATAATTATTGACAAAAAATTTTTATATTTCATTTTTAGCAAAAATTTTTTTGAATATTTTGAAGAAATAAAAAAAAAATTTTCCTTTTTTTTTTTTGTTTTGATATTTGTCGTGTTATCATTGTTTATTTACTAATTATTAATAAACATTATTTAATCATTAATTTACATTCCTTTTTCTTTTTTTTTTTTTCTTTCAGGTTAAAGAAATAGAAGATTTAATCGATTCAAACTTTTATAATATTTTCAAAACTAAAAGTATCACTACTTTTGCAACAACAACAACAACAACAACAACAACAACAACAACAACAACAACAACAACAACAACAACATCGATTGATGATGGTAGTAATCTTTTGGGAAGTTTGTTAAGCGGTCGTCTTGATAAGATTGATTGGTTTGGATCACTTTTTGGCTTCAATCATTTACCAACAAAGGAAGAGGGTAGTGCTGTGGCGCAAATATTTGAAGGCGGTATATTTGGTCCAGCTAGTTAATTTTTAATGAAACTTTTTCTTTTCTTGTTTTCTTGTTTATTTTTTTTGACTAGAAAAAGAAAAATAAGTTTTTTCTTTTTCTTTTTTTTTTTTTTTGGAATAAATAATTTTGAATGAAAATTTAAAAAAATTCAATGACCGAATTATTTGAAAAAATGGAATGGTACGCATTATTTAATATATAACTTAATAATTTTAATAATTTTTAAAAATAATTTCATGTTTAAAAAAAAAAAAAAAAAAAGTGTTATAAGAGGGATAAAAATTTTTTTGATTTAAACATTTCATTATACATAATTATTTATTTGGATAACAACTTTTTCACATGAAAGAAATAAAAATTGAATGAAATTATTTTTATGAATGATAACAATTGTTTGTTTTATAACTAATAAATATTTATGCAATAATGTAATTCTATATTCCATTGCTTAAATTTACTTGTAAATATATAAAATGTTAGTGATTTTTTTGAACATGTCAATTAAAAAGGTCAAAAATTCTCGAACAATAAATAATAATTATGTTGGTCTTGATACCGGATAACGAGAATAATTCAACCAATATGCACAGTTGAATATCAGGAATAGTGCCGGAAAGATAAGTCCTGAAAAGGAAAAAAAAATATAAGAAAAAAGAACAACAAATGAATCATTTCATATGTTAGCAAATTATAGCAAATTTTTTTGAAAAACTTTTTTTAAATATTTGTAATTAATTTATTATATGATGTATGTTTCATTTGTAATTTAATAAAGTCGATTTTAATTAACATTGTATAATTATTGAATTTTCAAGTAATCTTGCAACTTATTAATATAATTAATGAGTAATTTGTTAAATTACCTTTGCATCTATCAAATGTTTAACTTAATTGAATTAATTTAACAATGTAAATATGAATTACTTTTACTAATTTAATACTAATTTTGTTATTTCATTCCTTTCAAATTAAGATTAAATTAAAAAAATTCTGCAAGCAAAATGACAAATATCTACCACTCACCAGTGGTTTCTGCTATTACTTGCTACCACTTGGTACCAGCTACTTGCTACCACTTGGTACCACTTGCTACTACTTGCTGCACCACCACCTGGTACCAACTATCTGTTATCACTTACTACCAGCTATTTTCTCCTTTCTTATCATCACTTACTCCTACATTACCACAGCCATTATTATTATTGTTACCATTATAATTATTCCATTTTTTGAAAAATTTTCACAGCTTCAACATTGGCTAATAATAATATTGATAATAATTATAATAGTAATAATAACAATAATAATGGTGGCAGTGTTTAATATAAAATAATAATTATGATGGCAATAATAATAATAATAATGATAAAAATATAATATATTAGTAATAATCAATGATGAATCACAATAATAAGTCTGCTAACAAAAATCATAGTAACAATTGATAGTTTTAATAGCAGTTAATAATAATATCAATTAAACAACATTAATAATAATAATATCAATGATAAGAATAACGCTAATAGTATTGGTGATAACAATTATTGCGGTGAAAATATTAATGATTACAGTAACACTGGCATTAATAATAAATTATGGTAATAATAATTAATACAGGTAATTAGTAACAATAATTAATCACTGCAGCGATTAATAACAATGATGTTAGAGATTTATACTTATAGAATAATAACTTCAATAATATTAATAGTAATAGTACTATCGATAATAATGATAGTAATTACTAACTGTAGTGACAATAACTAATATTAGTAATAAAAAATATTGATAGCCATAATTAATAATTATTATTATTACATTTGTAGTAACATTATTTATAATTGATAACGGTATTAGCAGTAATACCCGTAATAATAAAGATAACATAATTTATAATATTAATAATTAATAATATTATTAATGAGCTCTATAATTTTAAATTAATGAGTTTAAAAGAGTTTTTTTTTTTTTTATATAAAATTATTCATATTATCGTAATACTTCCCTTTCAAGTATTTACTAAAGACAACAAAAAGTACGAATGGATCATAATCACTGATATTTTATTAAATTTTGATGTGTAATTCGATACTTTCCTACTTAACTGTTTCAATTTTTTAATTTATTATTTATATTTCAACATTTATCATTTTTTCATTAATGTATTTTTGCTTTAAGCAATAATATAATTGACAAATATCATTTTAATTATATATAATTCGAATATTTTCTCAGTTGGTTTTATTTTCTTCATTGTTTATTCCTTTATAAGAATTTTTGATTTTTTCAAGATTATTTTAGCTATGTAATTATCTATGTAATTAATGACAGTAATAAATTTTTGATAAATTAGGTGCAGTTGTCAAATATTGAATAAATATTACTGATAATTACTGGTAATTAATTATATAATTCAAAAAAGAAAAATTTATTTTTTAAAATATGATTACATATGTAATTTCATAAATTAGCAGTATTATTTCATTTTTAATCATAGTTTATGGTAATAAAATTTCCATTATACTTTATTTTCGTTCCATTTCAATTATTCATTTGCTTTATTCATTCGATACTTAATGCATACTATTTCAAATATTTAAATTTTAGATTTTTTAGTGGTAATATTATTAAATCATAATCTATTAATAATATTATCACTTAGTGTTTTAATTATACATTGAAAACACTTTGCAATTTGTCAGCTAAAGAAAACGAGAAAAAGTCGGTCAAAATATTGTTGTTTATTTTATGTCCAAATTTGTTATTTCAAAGTAAAAATTTTCAAATAATAATTTTAAATTAAATGAAATGATTAAATGAGACATTTTTTTTCTGATATTTCCAAATATACAAAAATACAAACTTGATAAGTAATCGGCTTGTTTGGCACGATCGGTAGTATGAAATTTTCGCCTTAACCAGCCAATAAATCGAAATTGCCGATAATAGTCTTTGAGCATTTGACGATTGCGCCTAATTCTCCGCCATTTATTACCACCATTTACCATATTAAATTGTTCACCATTTTCTTCATCTGAGTCATCATTTCTTTGCCTTACCCATATTTCACCGCATTCCATCTGTAAAAAAAAAAAAAAAAATAAAATCTCATTTTTTTTTTTTTAAATTGTTTTTTAATTTTTATCAAATGATATTTGATTATCACAGATACTTCATTACATATTAATTTGAAATATAAAATCAAAAAAAAAAAAGTAGGCTTGAATTTCCTTTCTGAGAAATCTTATTTATTTTTATTAAAATAATTAATTATATTATTATCATAGATTTTGAAAAAAATATTAACTATTACTTTTAACTTTTTTCTTCTTTTCTTGTTGAAAATCAAAAAAAAAGAGAGAAAAAAAAAGGGAAATTTTTCAAATAAATCAAATTGGAAATTTTTGATTATTGAAATTTATAAATAAAAAAATTTTTTCTGTTGCAAACAAAATTTAAATTAATTTCCAAGAAAAAGAAAAAAAGTGAGGAAATTTTGTTTTATTAAACTATTATTATCACTTTCAAAATCTTATCAGTTACTTTTTTTTTTGCCAAAATATTTAATTATATTATTATCAATTAATATTCTTAATGGATAGCAACTTTTCTAAATAAATTATAAGCAATGTTTTACCGCATTTTTGTTAAAAATGATAAGTTGTGTTGCTGCCATTTGATTAGTTCGTCCCATTAATGAATTTGTGCTTTTATTTCTTTTCATATCTGTTAATAAACTTATTATTATGTTTTTCATTTCCAATATTACTTTGTTTCTTTTAAGGAAAAAAAAAAACTTAAAATTGAAATTGAAATTCTACAAATTTGTTTTATAAAATCAAATGTATTTGTATTTTTTTGTTAAATTACCTCTTTTTTTCCTTTTTATTCAAGTCTTTTATTATTTGTATTACTATTTTTTATTTCTGTTATTATTATTATTATTATTACCGTAATTATTATCGCTATTATTATTATTATTACTATTATTAATGCCTTTATTATTATTATTACCACTTAAATACTTCTTTTTCCATAATTTATTTCTGTAATATAATTGTAAAATTTATTACTAAATATAAAACTAAATATTTTCGGAGAAGAAAAAATATTTTTTTTGCCTTTCATCTATTACTTTATCAAATATAATTTAAATGGTTCAAAAAATAAAAAAAAAAAAAAAACAATTCAAACATATTTATTAATTTCTCATTTTTCGAAAACATTTTTTTTTTTTTTTTTTGAAACAAGCATATAATAAATAGCTATAAAATGGATGATATTAATAAATGAATAAAAAATTTTTAAATTTTCTTAAAATAATTGCAATAAAAAGAAAAAGACAAACTTTTGCTATGATTTCGTGATGACATATATGTGACACAAGCAAATTCCAATAGCGCTCCAAAAATAAAAGTGAGACATGCTGTAATAATTATCATTTCTTTCTATTTCTTTAAATTTTATTTCCAATAATTTAATTTAGTTAAAAAATGAAAAAGAAGTATGAATGACAAGAGAGAGAGAGAGAAAGAAAGAAAGAAAGAAAGAAAAGAAGAAGCAAAAAATGAGAGAAATAATAATAATTTCAGTAATAACTAAATTTAAAAAAATTTTTTTAAAAAGATATTAATCGAAAGTTTGAGTTCAAAAAAAAAAAGAAAAATCAATGAATGAAATTGTGAGGAAATAAATGAGATGAAATAGCTTATAAAATGATATCATAAAATATCACTTGATTGAACTTTCACTTAAAAAAAAAGTACCACTTAAACTTTCACATAATAATTCTCACATAAAAATATTTTATTACTTTTTAATTTTTGCAAACATTTGAAATTAATTAATTACTTACCACCAATCCATACATCAATTGCTTTTGTATAAGATACAGGTGGCAATTTGGCATTAATTCCAGAAGCCTAACAATTTAAAAATTTTTTTAAATAAAATGCATAAAGTATAAAATTTAAAAGATTTTGAAAAATTATCTTTTGCTTAAAAATTTTGCAAGTCAACATTGAGAAATTAATTTTTTGTTTTTTTTTTTGTTTTTTGACTGACTGACTTTTTTGTCTTTTCAGCAAGTAATTTGAAGAGTTGTATTTTTTAATCTCTTAGAATATGCTTCTTAGACAACAAATTTTTAAATAAATTTTGTTTATTTAACTAAATTTTTTAAAATTAACTTTTGGTTTTTCAAGTAATTAAATTTTACAACTGCTTTAGAACTATGCATTTAACATTTACAATAAATAATCAATCTAATTAGGAAAGATTATATATCTATATTCTAATAAAAAGTCTTTTAGCATTTTTTTAAGAAAAAATGAGTTAGAACAGTAAATATCAAAATTAGTAAAAGTAGGATTGTAAAATTTAAATTAGTTAAAGTAGTAAATCTAACTGATGAATCAAAAAATAATTTGTTGTACCCAAATTAAACCCATACAAGAAAAAAATGTTGACATTCGAATGCAATTAATTTAAAGTTCAAGTTAATCAGTGAATAAATTCAATATTACAGTAGAATTAAAACCTGAGTGGTCATAGTGAGCAAAGTGGTGACACCTAATGTGACACGTGCTGGTATTGCGGTACGATCTAACCAAAATGATACCCACGAAACGATAACAAGCATTGAACTGGGTACATATAATTGTAATAAGTAGTAACTATAAATTAATCATACTGTTTTTATTTAAATTTCTTATAGCAAAAATTTTAGCATCAATAGTATTTCAATTCATATTACTGCATATCAAGAAACGATTTTTTATTACTTAATTTCTTATTATTCAAAAAATTGATTAAAAATTTGATAAATTTTAATTAAATAAAAAGATTAAACAAGACTAACTAAACATTTAAATGAAAAAAAAATCAAAAAATAAACAATTTTCGCTTTTTTCTTTCGCTATTAAATTTCATCTTTTTCAAAAATAATTTTATACAATTTAAAAAACAAAATTCAAAATAAAAATCTAAAATAGATGAGAAACCTGAATTGTCGTCGTAATTCCAATACCGTACGTAAACATGAATATGTTCCGGTATTTGTTTTACTTGTACAGAATGTTGTTGTAACATTACTAAGTTGAAAACTTGGCAATGATGAATGTAAACCTTCTTTTAATTGAACCGGATCTTTACTCTTCCATACATATTCTAAAAATCAATTTTAATTTAATTTAATTTTATAATTTAAATTTATTTTTCATTTCAGTTCTCAAATAGTGACGAAATGATTTTGAAAAAACAAAAACAAAATTATGTGTTCAATAGCATAGCACAAAGAAATAAGTTTTTAATGAAATTAGAAACTATAAAATTAAATATTTAATGTGAAATAATTAAATATCTAAATTTTTAATAAATTTAAAAACTATTAAAGAATATTATAACACTGTAATTAATCGGAATACACAGATTGTGTCTTCTTTTATTAATATATAAATTATTAATTACTATCTCAAATATATGATATGAATAGTTTTACAGATTTATTTATTATTTAATTGAGATTAATTGCGTTTGATAATTAATTAACAAATTTCATTTCTTTCAGTGAAATAAAAATTATTGAATAAAATATTAAAAAATATACATTTTTTAAAAATTTTCACACAAATTTTTTTTCCTTATTAAAAAGAAATTCAAATAAACTACGATATAATCTTTATACTTATATCAATGCATATATATGAATAAGGAAAATGAAATTGATAATATTAATTGAATTTTAAACTGATACAGCACATTTTGCATTTAATTTCATTTCTTTCTGCAATTAAATTTATTACGATATTAAATTTAAGTTAATAATTACCGATATCATCTGTTGTATATGCATAAGAGGCAAGATCAATAAGGCACGTTTGAATATCCATTGGATAATACTGCAATTACTGCTGGATTTTTTTTTTTTTTTTTTTAAAAAGAAATTTAATTCAAAAAATATTTGCAAAATTTCGGTCACAAAAAATAGAATAATACTTTTTATTAAGAAAATAATTATTTTCTTAAAATTATTCCACTAAAAAAGAAATAATTTTGCAAATGGAACTTTATTTCCATTTTTTTTTTTTGTTTTGTTTTCAGTTCATTTTATTTGTTTTTTTTTTTTTTAAATTATAGTTAATTAAAATTAAATTAGTTACAGAAATAAGTGTTATCTTTGCTAGTGTGAAACCGGATCCGGTTCGTTAAATATTATAATGCACAATTCATTTCAACTTATAATTCCTGAATTTATTTCTTTTTTTTTCAGTGTAACTTGTCAACTTTTAATATTTATCATATCATTCTACTTCATTATTATGTGTAAATTGAACATTTAACAGAGGGAAGACAAGAAAGAGAGAGAGGGAAAGTAAAAATTTGTCTTACATTAAAATTTTTCCATTTTTTAATTATTAAATAAAAAAAGAAAATATCATTTAAAAAAATTTTCAAAAAGGAAAATAAAAGCAGAAAACCTTATTTAGAAATTGTTTTTTTTTTTTTGAAACAATTCATTCAAATTAAATTAATTTAATCAGAATGAAAAAGATAGAATAGTTAAAAAGTTAATAATTTTTAAGTAATTTTTAAGACAGAAATTTTTGCTTTGATTTTTTTTCTTTAAATTTATTATCAAATTTAAAAAATAACCTGTAAATGCATTGGACATGATAATACAAGCGATATTCGAACACTATACAATATGGTACCATCTTTATGTACACGTATAAGAACATTCGGCTTATCAATCATATGGCGTTGAGCATGCTTTTCATTCTAATAGTTAAATTTTCCATTTTTAACTTTTATTAAAAATTAAAAAAAAAAATTTAAGCTTGAAAAAAAAATGAAAAAATAAATTTTGAGTTTGCAATAAACTTTAACTAACTTAATAAATTATAACAAATATTTCATATAATATTTTTATAACTGTTCCGTTTTTTTTTTTTTTTTTTTGGCATACAAAAAATTAAATCAAAAAAATTAGAATGCGTTATTCTAATAAGCGAAATATTTTTTAAATGTTTCTGTTTTTTTTTTTTTTTTTTTTTCAAATATTTTTCATCTTAGAAAAATAGAACAAAAAGAGGGCTTGAAAAATTGGAGTGATAAAATTGAAGCGTATAAATAGATTTGATTAAAAATTTAAAAAAAAAAAATTATTTTAAATATTATCATTAAAAAAAAATTTATTTCAAGTATTATCATTGAAAAAAAAAAAAAAAAAATCACTAAATTATTTCAATAAATTATTATTAATATGGAAAATTTTTTTTGCATAATTAAATAATCAATAATTTATTTCCTATTTTTTATTTTAATTAATAATTAAAATAATAATTTTATAAAAACCTGAAAAAATGAATCTGGCATCCAAATTTGTTGTCCAGCAGTAAGAATGACAAAATCAGGCGTATTATCACGTGGATAACCAAACGCCAATCGTCCATCCACCCAACTTTCACGGAATGTCAACTGTACACTATATTCCATATTTACATCATCTATTTTTGATATGCTAAAATAAATTTATCATAATTTAGCATTTAATTATAAATTATAATTATAAACAAAATTAAAAAAAAAATTTAAACAATTTTTTTTTTTTAATTAAAAAACGGAAGGAAAAATAAACAAAAATTAACCTTCGTATTAGCATATTTACAGCAACAACAACAGGTCCGTGACCACCTCAAAAATTGTTTATTGATATATAAATAGTTAATTTAAAAAAAAAAAAAAAAATTAAAAATAATCTATAAAAAAAATTTGTCAAAAAAGATAAATTTTCATTGCTGCGAAAATTCATTAATTAATTTTTTTTTTTTTTAACATTACTAAATATTGGCCATTTATTATAAATAATTATAAAAAAGTCATTTATTATAAAAAAAGTCAATTGACAAATAATATTAATTTTTTTTTTTTGTATAATTTGACCGAAATTTTTTTTTAAATTTTCAATTAAAAATAATTTTAGTATTACCTGTAATGCTAAGATTTGTACCTGGCGGTCGTACTCTCCAGTCGTATCCTTTTCCAAGTAATTTATTTATGATATCAGTATCTGTTGATGCTTTTATTTCACTAAAAAAAAAAAAAAAAGCAAAATGAAAAAGAAAGCAAAATAAATTGTTAATTTTTTAAAATTTTCAAAAATTTTTTTAAATGGGAATAATTTTAAAACTTTTTGAAATGAATAGTAATATTTTTGATTCAAGAAAAAAAGAAAGTGTTAATCACTTTTTAACTAATTTAATCAAGGAAAAATGGGAACCGCAATAATTTGAAATTAAATTTAAATTTTATTTATTTCTCTCTCAAGCAGCCATCGTCTTCTTTTAAAATCATTTTACACATATTTTTTGAAATAAAATAAGAAACAGAAATATTTTTTCAACAGTTATTTGAACTGTCTTCGAATTAAAATCATTTTTTAAAATTTTGAAATTTTATTGATATTTAAAATTTTATCGGATTTTATTTGAATGAAATTTAAATTTTTTTTTTTTAAATTGATATAGCTTTATCCAATAAGTACTTTTGTGTTATATAAATTAAGCTAATTTTAAAATGTTTTTTTCCAGACAAATGTGAAATTCATTCAACCATAAAATTTTCACGCATTTTAAACTTTTCATTAAAATGAAAATAGCAAAAAAAATTTTATCATTGTAATTCATTTACATTTGACATCATTTTTAGAAAACAAAGAATTAAAATTATTTTCCATCTTTTTTTATTATTTATTGCTAAATTAATTTTGCAACCCTTTTTTTTTTTTTTTTAATTTTTCAATTTTTTTTGATTAGTTAACAATTTTAAATTGTATGTTTTAATTTTTATTTTAACTTTTCCTTCTTGTTTTTTTTTTACTTTGACTAAATTAAAAACTATTATATTATTTATTAATTTAATGAGATATTTCATTTTTAATTTGCTTTATTTGTTACAAAAAAAAAAAATTTATTTTCTTAAAAAAAGATAATTAAAATAATTATTTTTTTGAAGAAAAGAGTTGAAGGGAGATAGAGAGAGAAAGAGAGAGGGAAGAAGGTAGATAGAGAGAGAGAAAAAATTATATTTACCAAATAATAAGCGCAAATGATAGTATCGGTAGTAGGAACGGAAAATGATTGAAGTGGTCGAATCCGATTAACGGAATAATTGAAGAGGATTTGTCGTAGTGCGGAAGAAGCATTCAGCGGAATACTCGTTGATAATAGATGACACCAACAACAATCTTGTCAACTGACACCTATATAGATTGTCACCGATGGTTGTCACTTTCTACATTCGTTGTCACCGCTGATTGTCACTACTACATTCGTTATCTTCCATCATTGATAACTTTTTACAATTATGGATTATTTGAAGTGCTGCAAAAATATGATTCATTTAACCTTGCAATAATATTTATATAAAGTAAAGTTATTCCAAGAATTTAAAAAATTTTTTCGAGCTAAATTAAATTTTGAAGAAAGTAAAACAATTTTGACAAATGAAAAAGATCGAAATTTTAAATTATCAGGTAATTTTGACAAATGAAATTTGAAAATTTGAACACAATTAATTTGCAACACATAGAATCTTGCTTTAAGTAATTAGTTCAGTTTGAAAATTTAGAATGACAATCAATTTTACAAAGTATTTATGAATATGCTTTGTATATAACTCAAAGATGATAATATTGATAATGATAATAGCAATAATTAAAGTACCCATATAATAACAATAATAGTAATTTTGATAATAATAAAAATAGCTAATATAATAAAATTTTGCAATTTATCAAACTGCAAAAACTTATAAAACATTTTTTAATTATTTAATGTAAATTTCAGTAAAGTTTAAATCAAATATTTTGCATATTGAAATGTTAATCAATGATTGATTACATTGATTTAACTTTTCTAAACAAAAATATGGGTAACTATGTAATGAATATTAATTATTAATTTAAATTTGTCATTTATTCAAACTAACTGGAAGCTTTTTTAAAACTTTACAATGAAATTTTGAATTAATTTTGCTTTTGAACAAATTGTTGAATTATTGTGCTAAATTTAAATATCTTAATAATTGATTTTTCAATGATTAATCTTAATAATTAAACCAATTTTAAGTAATTTGTCAAGTAATTAATAAATTAATTGTATTTTTTTTCTCTTAAGCAAATTTCTGTGCGGCAAAAAGTAATAAATTAATGCATTTTTTTTTTTTGTATAATGTTAATTTTTAGAATTCTATTAGAAAAATCAAAAAAAGGAAGGAAAGAAAAAGTAATAAAAAGATATGAATTGAAATAAAAATTGCTCAAATTTGGTAAATTAAAATTTTTTTTTAGTAAATTTTAAAATTTGATCAAAAAATAGAAATTGACGAAAAAGAAGGAAAAGAAAATAACAAAAAACCAACACAAAGAATAAAATTCCAATTGAGATGTAATTGCTCAAATTTGGTAAATCTAAAGCTTTTATCCAATTTCAGGATTCGATTAAAAAAAAAAAATCCGGGAAAACGAAAGAGAACGGAAAAGGACATAGAAGTATCAATTGAAATATAATTGGGCAAAAGATTTTTAACAAATTTCTAAGATTTAAAAAAAGAACAAAAAAAAAAAAAAAAAAAATGAAAGAGGAAGGAAAGAAAAGTAACACTGCTTTATAAATTTTTTTTCGATGAAATTCTAAAATTTGTTAAGAATGATTCAAACTCAGTTAAATTTATATCAGTTAAAAGATAATTGCTTGAATTTGGTAAAATTTAATTTTTTAGCAAAATAAATTCTGAAATCAAAACGCCAAACAATCATTTTTTAAAATTTTCTCTTTGGAATGCATTTTTAAATTCACTTTGTATTTGAGCAAAATCTAAATTTGATTGTTCACTCAATTTCAAATTTAGCAAATATATTTCAGCTGCGATTCGTACATATTCAAATTTAGAGTAAATTGAAAATTTTTTTAATATTTTTTTTCTTGAAAAAAGATCTAATTATATTGCAATAGCTATACTTACCAATTTCAATCTGAATTGCATAGAAAATTTAATGAATTGATCAAAGATAAATCAAAAAAAACGAACAAGCAAAGTAACCTAATAGTACCAATTAAAATGTAATCGCTCAAATTGGTTTTAAAATTTTTTCTACCAATTTTCAAATTTCATTAAAAATGTCACTATCACCAAAAAAAGTGAAAAAAAAACAAATTAAAACTTAACTGTCCAACTGATAAACATTATTGCAAAAATGTTACTTAACCAAATGCGCCCAATTCATTAAGCAAATTTAATAAACAAAAATTTTTCATATATTTTATATATTCTTTTTGCTTTACATAATCATATAAAAAGAATGTAAAAATCTTTTGAGATATTTTTTTTTATCAAAAAAAAAAGTGCTAACAAAATAAAGAAACAAAAAAAGAAATAAGCCAAAAAGTTTTCGCGCTGAAATGACACATAAACAAAAAAAAAAAAAAGGGGGGGTTGGCCGTAAATAAATAAAGGCCTATTCTTGACAAGAAAAAAGAGTTGGCCATAAATAAATAAAGGCTTGTTCTCAACAAAAAACGAACTTTTTCTATTGTTGGCCAAAAGATCTATTCCATATATATTATATATTAAAAAAACATTGAGAATAAGACTTAAAATTTAAATAAAAAAGGAGAAAAAAAATTTTTTTCTTTTAGGAATGTTTATATTCTAATTATTTTATTGTTATGATAATATGTTCAAAAACACTAATCATTTATAATGAATTTAATTTAATTTAATGAATGGTATAAAATTTCAAGAAGAAAAATGATTATATTTTCCTAAAATTATTCTCTTTCTTTGTTTCTTTCTCTCCTCTCTCTCTCTCTCTCTTTCTGGTTTTTCTTTTCTTTTTTTTTTCTTCAAAAGTGACAATTAGTAACTGTAAGAAATTATGATTACAACAAAATTTATTTCATTTTCTTTCTTTGAAAACTGTTTAAAAAAAAAAAAAAAAAAAAACCAAAAAACCAAAAAGACCGATCGAATATTACAGTATAACTCACACAGTGATATGTAATTTATAAGTTAATTTTAAAAAAATTTTATTTTCTTAATGTACATTTTAGGTTAAAATACAAAAAAGGGAAAAGTGAGCAAAACAAAGAGAAACGAGAATAAACAATTCCGGAATACCGGAACACTCAAATTTTTCATCATCTATTTTCCCATCCTTTTATTCCTTATAGTTCAGTTAAAAAATGTGAGAAAGAAAATGAAATAAATGAAGAATGAATGGCAGAAGTGATTTTTGACAATTTTTTTTTTTTCTTTTTTCTTTGTTACTACTAAAGCATTTGCATTTGAATGTGAACGGTTTTAGAAAGAAAAAATAAAATTTGAAAATTGAAATTTCATTATCATACTGATTTGTTCAGTTATCTTTCTCTCTCCTTCTTAAAAGTACCAATTTTTTTTTCTCCAATTTCAATTCTATTTCTTCTTTTTTTTTTTTGTAAATACTTCTAGAATTTTGATTTGAAATTAGTGATCAAAAAAAAAATCTGAAATTTCTCTACTATTACACTGATTTCGTTACTTTTTTTTTTCTTTTTAATAATATGATTTCAAAGTTTTTTAATTGAGAAATGAAAATTTTTACAATTTTATTTTCAAATTTTTTTTTTATTAATACTTCGAGAATCTTTCTAATTTTAGTCATCAAAATGAAGTCAACAATACGTCAGTCATAAATTTATTATCTAGTAATAAGTAAGTTATTTGATGCTTATCGCTTATTTCATCGCAAAAATAAAACACTAATTTGTAAGAAAAAGTTTTTCTCAAATGTTTTAATTTGTAGCATAAAGAATTAATTAAAATAATTAGAGGCAATTAACTAATTAATTTTTTAAATAATAACACAATTTTTTATGCTAACTATAAATAATTTTGCTGAAACAGTGTGCTAATAATGATAATAACAAAAATTAATCAAAATAGTTAGATGGAATTATTTGATTATTTTTTTTTTGTAAATAATATAATTTTGTGTTAATGTGAATAATTTTGTTGAAATGGTGATGATAAGGGGTAACAATCACTGTGATAACACTGTGATAATAGTGATACACACTGATAATAACAACAATGATAGGAGTGATAATCAGTTGATAACATATTAATTAAACATATAATTTTTGTTATTATTAGTTGATAACTTGCTTCAACCATAAAAAAGAAAATTAAATTGCTAATTCGTTAATTATCAAGCAATAGATTTATTATTAAACAATAATAAGGACTAATTTTTTGAAATTAATCAATTATTGCGGAAGATAAAGCTAAAATTAAATTTCAATTTCATTAATTAACTAAATAATTTGATCCCTAGTAATAAAAGCTTAAAATTGATAAATATAAAAAATAAATTTCATATATTTCTTATCATTTTTTAATTTCTCAACAATTTTAGGCTTTCATTATTAAAGTTAATTCGAATTTTCAGCTTTTATTTTTATAAAATAATTGAATAATTGTAATAAGTATTTCAGTTTTATTTCATTATAGTAAAAAAATTTTTATCCTAAAAATTTGAAATTATTATTTTTCTATTTTATTATATTTTGCTTTGCATTTATAACTTAGCAATTCTATAAATGAAAAATAATATTAATTACTACTTTGCATACGCAATCAATATGCTTCATTTAGTATTTAAAATTTAATTAAAAAAACTTTATCGTCAATCTTTCATCAAATTTTTCTTTTTAAATTATTTAATAAATTATTTATTATTTTTTTTTCAAGCTTTTATGTCTATTTCAAAAATACTAAATAAAAAAAAAAAAAGGTATTCCGGAAACAATTGCATATCAATCAAACCACAAATAGCTTACGTTATTGTTGGAAAATTTATTTTTATTTACGTTTTTTTCTCATTTCCAAATGCTTTATCCTTTTATTACTAAACTAACAAATTAATTAAAAAAAAAATTTTGTTTTTTTAAAATTAATTTATGAGAAAGAAATAGAAGAAAGGCAAAGATTTAATAATTTAATATTTATAATAATTAATAACATTGAATGAGTTTTTTTTTGATAATAAATAAAGGAAATTTGTTTTTTGAAAAATTTATTTATCAAAAGAAAAAGAAAAAGGTGAAAAGTCAATCATTTAATATTTATAAAAACTAGAAAGAAAGAATAAATTTTTCCATT